GAAAATTTTGTTGTCAATAGCTTACAGAAACTTGGAGGTAGTAAAACTTTTCATACCCATGGATTTGGGGTGTGAGTTACCCCACCTCTGCTGCCCTTGAACATTTTCTTACTTTCCAAATGTGTTTTTCTTGTTTTCTTTTACTATTAGATTCGAGTAAACTAAGTGAAATTTTGATACATCATGTGTAAAAAATGATGTCTTCTAAGTCAAAGTTATAGCATCAGAGTTAAATTCCTGTCGTATATATGAAGGGGTTTCCTCCTTGTAGCTATTCTTTTTGAAATTTGTGAGCAGGGTTTCAAAATCATCATCCTAGTGGGGTTTTGGGATTCTCCTGCAGAAATGGAAGTTCTGAGGAATGAATTGCAGAGAAAGATGAAGAAGATGATCGCAACAGGAGCTGCAATAATGTGTTCATGAAGAAGGAGGAAGAGCTCTTGGCAAGCCATTATTGCAAGCTTTTGTTGGTTTCGTATATGAACATTAATATTGAAGCGATAATAAGGGAAGGAAGTCTCGTATTTATAAATATACTTGAGCCAGAACATACTTAACAAATTAATTTTTCTTGTGATTACTGCTATGCGCGCACCATGAATAACGATTTAATTTTTTATACTTTTGAAATACGGACAATTGTCAACGGCAACATTTTTTTTTAGGAGTAATTAATATTTTTTCCAGAATACTCCAAATCAATTAATAAAAAAGAATTGGCTCACTTTGAAGTAAAATTAAGAGAATAATGAGCAGTAATTAAGGCCAGGGGTGAAAAAATAAAAATAATTTTAAAATACGATAAATTAGTTAAAAGTGTTCATTGATATGTGTGAGTTAAGTAATTTTATGGTATAAAAAAAAAAAATGAATACTTACCTTTTAAGTCACGTAATGAATTGATGAACTTATGTTCAAAGCCCGTTAGTATTTAAAATTTTCCTCTTCAAGCTAAAATATGTCGGTTTTGCAGCATAAATGACACCAAACGTTTTTTTATGATTTTTTTTTAAATGTAAGGTTATGAGTTTTCTTTTTTACCTAAGTATAAGTAATCTTCTATTGTACGTAATCCTGTCAAGAGCACTGTTAGGCAGTAAATATAATTATCGGATCTGGACATTAGTTCATCACGTCATAGTCTTTTTCGCTATATCCAACTCCATTATTTTTTAATTCTATTTACAAAAAATATGTGTGCAAGAATTATGACTAAAAAATAAATTCAAACTAAAATATGCATAAAAAATAAGAAAAATCCGCATGTAACTCAATGAAATATTCGAAAAAATTAAAGAATGAAAAAAACAATTGCACAAAGTTGGAAGCTAACATATTGTTATCTCATATTTTACTCAAAAGTGTTTTAAATTATTTTCTCAAGAAAATGGAAACTTTTAAAATTTGCATCCTCGTGATTTTTTTCCCCGCTTTGAGTATATCAATAGTTATTGGTGAATAAAATTACAATATAATCCTTGAAAACAATTTGTTTTATGTTTGCTAATGTGCTGATATTATCTCATTAAAAACATTAATGAAAAAAATCGCACACACGCACATACGTAAAACATTGTTGAGCGGTGGCAAAATAATTGTATATAATATCCTGTAGTTCCACTGGCATCTCTATCTTTTTTTTTTTTTTTGTCATAACTTACGCTCATTATATCATTTATAGAACGTTGAAATTCACAAATCATATTTAAGAAAATTTTAACAGAAGCACTTGATGTCATTAAATTACAATACTCCGATGATCATTAGAATTATCATACAGTAATATTTTAATAATTACAATACTCCAACGATAATTATAATACTTCCACCGAGTGTGATCAAAGATGCCGCCAAAAGACTTAATTATCAAAAAAGTTTTACTTGAAATTTTTTGACAAACACTACGTGATATGCCATTTAGAAGTCCGAACTTTTCCTCTTCTCTTCCCATTCTCTTTTTTCCTCTTCTTTTTCAACTATTAGATTAATATATTTTAACGGTTACATTTTAATTTTTTATAAATTTTTTATAAAATTTTTTAAAAATATTTAGTGCAAACATTAGAATTAAAATTTAATATAGTTTTTAATTTATTATTTATTTATTTTTATAATTTAATATTTAATAGAAAAATTTAAATCTCAATCATTAAAATATTAATGTAAAAGGTAAGGAAAAAATGGGAAAGGAAGAAGAGAAGCCATGAATTAATGAGATGCAAGCTTCGCTTTTTTATAAATGAAAGCAATTAATTAATTTTATATATAAAACATTAGGAAAGTTAATGCGGAGCTTTCCATAACTTTATTTTATTTTTAAAAAAATCTTTGTAATTTTTTCTTGAGTCCTTGTAAGTTTTACATTAATAAATATTGATTCTCATAATTTGTTCATTTGTAAAAGAAATTGCACAAGTAACTAATGATGCAATGCTCTCTCAACACATGCCTAAATTGATTTTGTCATATGAATATGAATAAAATAAAATTCAATCAGATTATAGATTATATAGAGATATAAGGAGACAGTTATTATTATATTTTTTATTTGTCTGTTGATAAGAAATAAATTTTATTTTTCAAAAGGCTAAGTGTGAGGTTATGGATTTGAACCTTCTGTAAAAGCATAATTGGTGCATAAGCTACGATTAAAAAAAAATGAAACGAAAAATCACACAGCAAGGTGGGTTGCCAAAAGATTCACTCAAAGACAAAACATCACACCCTTTTCAGCCTTGTGCTAACTTCTATAAAATACACCTATATTCTCTTAACTTCTATAGCCCCGCCGAACATAAGCACTGTTAATACCTCACCATCTTGTGCTTTCGAATCACCACATCAATACTATGAAATTAGGGACGATAGGGTTTTAATCTTCAATTTGCATCCCCGGCCCAACATAAGCAGCTTAAGCCTGCACAAAGAAACAGAGGCAAAGACCCCACCGCACTAATAGCAAAAGCGCAATATAATGAAGATTCTCTCCATGTGTCAAAATAATTCCACAATTCTATGACAAAAGGAAGCAGGCTGCAGGAGTCAGCCAACAGTAGTCCAAATAAGTGAAGTAAAAGTCCATGGTGATCACTCGCCCTCCAACAATATTTGATAAAACCAACCGTCAGAATAATTCCCAAACATTCACCACATATTCACGTTGTAATCATGCCCCCATCCTCAAAAGTCCTCAGCATTGCATAGTCATTATTAATCTTTCATATCCATAATGTTCTAAAGCTCATACACAGCATACTAAAATGGATGCTACATGCCTGATCCCCAACCTCTTCCAAGACACCAGCTTACTGACCAAAACAAGGACACTGGACATCACAAAAAGATAAATACTCACAGTGGAGGGGTGAAAGACAGGAAACAAGGACACTGAACACGGGACATCACAAAATAAGATTAACACTTTCTTTTGGCAAAAGATGAAGGTCAGGGGTATATATTTATTAGCCTGTTTCCATGAAACATGACAGAATTGCAATACTCCAGGGGAAACCAACACTTCTCATTGTCTTTAAGATATGTTCATCTACATTGCTTCTCTCATTTGACCAAGCAATGGGCAATGATCAAGTACTGACGGTAACGACCTACAATTTGAGTACCAGTTTCGCAACAACACATTTATCCAAAAAGTCTATGGTGCATCCTATAATGTGCGCATCACTTTGAGCAAAGCCTCACAAGCTAATTTACTGATAGAGTTATATAACCATTACCAAAGAAGAATTACACAAATCTCAGAGAAATTTGCATTAAGAAAAACTAAATATCAGAAGGAAAAAAAATGCAGCTAAACAGGACAAGGTAGCATTCAGAACGTGTAAAACCCTACAGAGAGTTCCAAGAGACACTTATCCTACCCCCAGATTAGAATACAACCAATTCTTTAATATTGAAGAGTGAAATATTTTGCTATCCAATGGTCTTCCCCTATCCTCTATAAAACAGTAGCAACATGATACAACATTCGTGGAAGATAACAATAACTGAGAGACTAAACTAAGATACACTCTTCCTGTTTCGAAGGTCTTATGTTGGTGGTTGCATCTGCAGAGTAAACATACAGGGATAAGGAAAATGCTAACATCCCAGAAAAAAATTCACACCCTCATTCCCTACTATAATCTCTAGCAAAATTGAGAGAAATTAGAAGCCTTTTTCAACCCAAATTTCAATTCAAGGTCTTACTGGCTCCAGTGCACAAGGGCAACATTCTTCTATTCTTTTACGTCTTCCCTTATTTAGTTTCTTTGGTATTATTAAAGTGATCCTTTCATCCAACAAAAAGTTCAGTTCATTCCAGCCATCCTTATGTTGCCGTGATGCAAAACACAGAAACCAAGTCATGGCCATTTATATGTCCCATTTTTGTGGGTAAAACTTAACCAAATCAACTTCTCCAAACAACTTAAAAATTCTTTTGCAACTAAACAAACCTAGTAAGTAGATCATGCATAAGAAAGGCACCTAATGATTGGAGATATGGTAGACATCAGGTATATCACTTCATTGAGAACTGTTTAGCAGCTACGCTGAACAATACGTTAGAAGAATTTATAGGAAAACTCTACAGTTGTGATCATGTAACCCATCCAGAGTACAGAATTTGCACTTTCAAATTTCAATTGCAAGAAAATGGGTAGCATGCAAATTAAAACACATGACTGATGCACTTAGGGGGCGATGTGTATATCTTTAGGCTCATGAAGTAACAAATGGGTAGTTTGAATTGGAATGAAGTAATCATGTTCTAAGCTTGAACAGTTCATCTATATGCAACCTGACTACGTCGAATTTGATGCTTACCCTAGTATAGAAAATAAAGATTAAACTTTTCCTGGCTAATCCAAATAAACAGGGTTCGTGGGGGATCTAGCTTTATCAGGTAACAAGTTACTGATAATAGCAAGGACAAGAACCACCACACGGATATCTATTGGGTATATTGGGTTTATGTTCTTAGCTAAAAGGCCTTGGAAATATTTCAAACACCATGCTCCTTAAACTTATGCTAAAGTTTTTACGAGTTTAACGCATCTAAAGCATGTAATCATGTATAAATGATACAGCACAGTGCAGAGTCACCATATAAACACTCCTAGAGAAAAGCAAAAGCATCAGATATCAATCTCCACAAACGTCATATCATGGAACGTTTAATACACCCTCCAATACAACAATTAGGGCACCCACCAGCCGAAAATTCACAAACTACCAAACTACAGATATAAAGAAACCCTTGAATTTCCTATAAGGGATTCGGTATATCAGACTACTTATCTTTGGTGGAGACCCCGTACTTCTCTTGCATCCTAGCAATCTCTTCCTCCTTCTTCTTCTGATCGAACTTCTTACCCATCTTCGCTTGCTGGTAGTAAAGCACAATCAGGTAACGATTGGCGACGTTGAAGCCGGAGAGGTGATCGACGGCAGTTTTGGCGTCGTATATGTCCTCGTAGACAACAAAGGCGGTGCCACGCGTGTCCTTGTTGGTGCCGATGCGAATCTGCCGAATCGCTCCGTACTTGCCGAAGATATCGTACATCTCCTCGCTGGTGATATTGAAGGGTAGGTTCCGAACGTAGAGAACACGGTTCACCTCCGGCGGCAGCCGAGTGTTACCTTTGCGGAGGCTGATCGTCGCCATGCTTTTCGCCGACCGGTGTTGCCGAGAACTGGGGCTCTTCCAGGCTGTTCCGAATTCCGAAGAGGGTAAAGAGGGTAATCTGTTTAACTCACATATTCCTTTAAACTGCCACCACGTCGGTGGCTTCAGTAAACGCAAACACAGGTTTATTAGTTAAATAATTTGAAAATATTAAAAAAATTAATTAAATTAGTTATTTATAATAAATATATATTATTTTTTAAAATATTTTTATTATTAAATGTATTGACTAAAATACTATTACAAGGATTATATTGAGAAAAAATAGATAAATATGATAAATAAAATGGATTGGGTTTAATATTTAGGATTAAAATAAAAATCCTATATCAAGGATAAGAAGTAGTATCTGTTTATTGAAATATGAATTGGATGCATCATATTTAATATTTGACAATTATAATAGTAATTTCCATAAATTTCATGTAACAAAGGGATTATAGTCAATGTTTAAGAATGATCTTTTACGGGATAACTAATAAAAAGCTCTCAGTTTAAAAGATTAAAATTTTGCATAAAATACACAAAATTCAATTAGGGATTTTTATGTCTCATATTTTAACTGTAACAATACGTTAGAAAAATATAAAATACTTGAAATCATATACTTGATTTAAATACTTATATCATTTGTCAAGGAAAGAAATCCTTGTGCCATCCAAAATTTTCTGACTCATCTTATCATCACTTGACCACCTACTAATACTCTTGTTTTGAAGCGAACAGGTATATATATGTGAATATTTTGAGCTGATGGATAATTTTACCATACGCCTATTGATATTTTGTGCCCGTTTGGATCAGCGATTGGAAAAGCAGCTTATAAAAAAATAGCTTATGGAAAAGTGAAGTTGGTAAAATTAAATTGGATAAGCTGAATTGTATTTGGATTGGAGTTCAGAAAAGTTAGTTTACAAAAGTAAAATTAGTAAAAGCTTGTTTGGATTATAGTTGAGTAAAAGTAAGTTTGACTGAAAAATTACCAAAATAGGTATGGGTTTTTAATAAATAATAAAACATGAAAAAAATTGATTTCACATAATATAATGAAATTAAAATAATTTAATATGAAGAAATCAAATTTAATGAGTGAATTAAATTTTAAAATTTTAAAGAAATCATAAAAAATATTTTAAATATAAATTGAAACATAAAAAAAAAAAGAATTGAGATAATATTGATAACCTCCTGACATGCACAACGGCTAAGAGAAAAAAAATTGATAAGCTCGTGAGTCTGGAAAAAGTTGGATGGGAGAGAAAAAAAAAATGACAAGCTCCTAACACACACAACGACTAAAATTTGGTAAAAGCTCTTCTCAAATAATTGATAAGCTCTTGTCAGGAGCTTATTTCCATTGAGCGTTCAGTAGCTTAAAAAATAAATAAGCCCAATAAGAATTAAGCTCTCCTAAACAGATCTTGTTGCTCAACCCAGCTTATATTATAATTTAAGGTGTTTTTGGGTCAACAAACACTGACCCAAACAGACCCTTTATTTATATATCAAAAGGTTTCACAATCATTATTCCTAAACCCTAAAAGCTAGGGCTAAAACTTGCAAAATTCTGTTAATAGGGACTCCTATGTCCTAAAGTAGATCATCTTTAACTGAAATAAAGATAACAAGTAACATTAACTTGGATCGGGGTGGATGATTAGAATTTTTGAATCTAGTTTTTAACTTGTGTACGTAACAAGCCTAACTGCAAGAGGTTTATCTTTTACATTTGGTACCCGAAATAAATTGGAATTTGATATTCCAATGATGGATGCTTAACAAAATTTAACTCTTCCGGTTCTAAATATAAAACCTTTATATTAGTGCGTATAAAGATCTTATATGTAGAACCGGAGGAGTACTACTAACACAATATAACCACCATAACAAATCTCGGTTGCATAGATTATATTATATTATATTATTATACTCTTTCAACAATACCAATAATTGTTAAATCAACTAAAAGATGAGTCATAATAATACTCGTATCAAAAGATGATTTCAAGACTCGACCCGACAAACTTGTCAGGTTCACATAAGTTTTTGTAAATATATTTATTAATAATCTGTCATCTAATAATGTTTATTTAACAAAACTCTAAATTTTCTGTTATCGGAAATTTGAATCCAATTATTAACAAAAGCATTGTAGTTAAGTGGCTGGCCATATTTTGTGCCCTACTTTCACTCTTGTCCATCAAATTGTTCTAACAAATACAAATAAAACCCTAAAAATAGCATGGCCTTGTCTCCACCTTCAAGATGGGACATTATCATATAATGAGGAAAAAGAGCAAGTTGAAAGGTCCCCACACAATTAATAAGTACCCTAAGGCTTAAAGAGAACACCATGATAATCAAATTCTCACCCCTTTCAATCTCACATATTTGCTGAGATAGAAGTTTCCAGCTGAACAAAACGTTCGGCTGGCTTCTTCTATCTCTTCTATTTTGGCATGGAATATACAGAGGTACAGGTAAGCCCCTATAGATTTATACATGAGAAACTAAATAATTAACTGTCGAGGTGTCTAAGCCAACCAGAGAATTGAATCTGATTTGGTTTACACCATATCTATCATTTTCAAATTGTTTACACCTGATTTGAATAATTTAAATTGTTCATGAAAATATCATAGTTGATTGAACTTTTCCCGTTCCATATATATATATATATATATATATATATTACTCTTCCGCTTCTTAATGTAGAACTTAATTAACTAATTTGAATAGATTGAGGACGCTAGTTACATTAGTTAATATGATATGTTTTTTTTAAAACACCTTAATCATCTTTCTTAATTTCATCTTCTTTCCTACTTGATTATTGTTGGGGAATATCAATAGGGTTAATTTGAAAAAAATTGATAAATATATTAAATATGTTTTATATATAGGATCAATATTAACTCCTATATTAGATCCTAGATTAAAGACCGGAAGACTATTATTTTTTATTAGTAAAACTGGATGTGAAAATTGATTATTTTGTACGGAAAAATTACTCTTCCGGGCCTTATGCAGCAAAAGGATTTTGGGGGTACCTATAGCTACAAGCAATATTAACATGTATGTACCAAGAGATTTGCAACTTTCCATTTTGCAAACACTTAGGTATTATAAATGTGTATTACTTTTTCCTATTAGTCAATATTTTTCAACTTCTAACCGAAAGTTTTGTTGATGCAGCGAGATATATCTGTCCACTTTCATGCTGTCACCATATCACAACATGTGATTGCCATTTGGCATAATATTGTGAACATTATGGGATCTCTAAATTAATTGGATATATCCCAAAGCTATCTAATTAAGACGATGAAATGTATATAGAAATCTTGACTTTGTACTGGTTGGTGAGTTGATAAATAAAGGGGGTACCAACCGGTGCAGTCAATGTCAAGATGAAACCATTAAACTTTTAGCATACAAATATATGTGTGTCATATACTCTCTGGAGTCCAAAGTATACGAAGTCTTTTGAAAGGAAATTCTAGTCCGAAATATAAGAGATTGACAGGATAATTAATGATAATTTTTTACTTTTACCTTTTATTACAAGGAGAAAAAAGAGTTTTAAATGCAGAAAAGAGAGGAGAATTGACAGATAATAAAAGCATATTTAAAAAGTAATTCTATTAGTTTTCAATTTAAAATATATTTAATGACTTAACTAATATGTTTTGATTCGCGAGAATTGATTAACAACATCTTATATTTTGGACCGAAATGAGCAGTTGATGGGGTCACAATGCAGACCAGGGAGCGCACCCCACTTGTCATGCGGGCGGACCCCATGATATATATTAGCCTATTATATTGATTGTACAATACAATGCTACATATAAGGAATAAATTAGTATAGAAACAGGTTTTAGAGTTTAGAGTTTAGAGTTTAAGGTTATTGCTGTCAAATTTACATCTTTCTTTCTTTCTTTCTTTTTGAAATATACCTACATGCATGCTCAAAAGAAAATAACAATATAATGGTGATGTATATACGTACTAACAAATGTATGGTTTTAATCTGAGGATGCAGAAGAAAGGGCGGCCTCGAATGTCAGTGCCACAGTTTGGGGGGTGGGATCAAAACGGTGGGGCAGATGTGAGTTCAGGGTACACAGTGGTGTTTTCAAAGGCTCGAGCTGATCGACAGCATCAAAAGACTGACTTATCTGAGGTCAAGCGTCAAACTCATCAACTCCAAGATCATCATCATCTTCATCATGACAATAATAACCTTCCCAAAAACCAAGCTCATCACCACCACCACCACCACCACCACAAGAGGCATGATCGTCATGGTAAACCAGAAGAAGAACCACCTTATGCTTCTGCAACCACTCCTCCTAATCCAATGGTGAGACCCCATTTCTCTTATTGATGATCTTCTATTTTATTCATCCGCTGTGTTTCTTTGTTCATTGCACCATTATCATCATCTTCATATGTTAATTATATTAACATATCAAGAAGTTCCAAATAGTTTGGATCTTCATATGTTAATCGTATTATTGCTCGTTACAACTTTGATCCAATCCCCCTTTAGTCAACTCATGGATCATAGCTAGGTAGAACATTGCCGTTCTAATGATGAAACAATATGACATCATTAGGATTGGGTAAGTTCTTGTGCATTACACAATTGAACGAGTCATACTGTTCATGATTCTGTGAATAGTATGTTCTTTAAGGTCTCCTATGCCTTTTCTTGTTTTCTCTTTTGGGGTTTTCTAGTATAAGCATGGTTTCCTCTACGTTTTCAATGGTGTCTGTCATAGAAGACATCCATGGTGTGGGCTACATTATAATACTACCTTCGGTCCTTAATATAAGACTTTGTTTGACTTTTATTTTGATTCTAAATATAAGATTCCAATATATTTTGTCTCTCATATTTATACATTTTTTCCCAAAATAATCCTTCTAACAATGGTACTTTTAGATAACAAACTTGATTAGCAAGGATATTTTAGGAAAAATAACACATATTCATTACAAATAACTAACTTAACTAAGTTCCTTAATTTCTCTAAATTAGTCAATTGGGTCTTATAATTAGGACGGGAGGTAGGATATGCTAGCTAGTGTGGGTGTACATCTAGCTAGGTCTATTATCAAAATCAAAGAGAGATTGATATTTAGAGATTTTGCGTCAACGAGTATTAGTGACATTTGAGACATCAGATAGTCTGTATCAAAGTACTAGTAGATGATTTATGAGGAGAACCTGATTCTTGTGGATTTGATTAGGGGTTTAAGTAAGAAGGAGACTAGGGTTTTGTTATTTTGTCAGATGGAATAAAGAGTTCACAATATTGTTGTGTATCATCACTGCCTTACAGAATTGGTACGGATATCCTTTTTAAACCGCTGGAAAAAGAACTTTTGTATTAGTGTTACTCCTTTTCATCTCGGCCAAGCCACAATCTAATACGCAAAGGACTCTTGATTCATCAACAATTTGGAAGCCATAGAGCAATAGGGACTAGATGGAAAGAAAGTTTGACAAACCTGAATCTTGTCTCCCACAATATTGGATCGATTCATGTGTATGTGTTAAGAGTGGAATCTCTATAGGCATATCATATTACCCGGTCCTAATTATAAGATGTTATCTGTTGTCTGCAAACGAGATCTTATAATTAGGACCTGAGGTAGCATATTTCTAAGGCCTTGGAAACTGATGATTGATTCAAATTGTTGATGAATCAGATTTGTTTCAGTAGAAATATTTCATAACAAAAACCTATGAAGATTTGCATACTTTATTTTTTTTCCCCAAATAAGTTAGAATTTAAAAACACAACAAAGCAAACCTTCTAACGCTGCTGTAACCAATACACATTGGTTATCGTGGTTTAGTATTGATGAATATAATGTTTATGATTGTGCAGGGGAAAAAGAGAAACAAGATAATGTCATGGATCTTCTGCTGTATTAGGCCTTGACCCAATTTCTCAGTTTAAAAACAATAACAATGTTGAAGATTTTGAGCTTACTAGGGATCCATATTTACATGGCATGTAAAGTTTTCATACATTCACAAGTGGATCTTTCCATGATCTGTATACAAAAATGATATGCAATGCGACTGATCTTTTGATGAAAATTGTCATTTTTTTAAATTAGTGATAATTTTGTTTGAGGGATGATGAGGAACTAAATGTGGCACAATTTTTAGTGGAATTTGAAGTTCATTGTGATCTAACCAATTTTTATTAGTGTATTTCTTTATTTTATTATTAAAGCCATAAAACTACAGACAAGGTCTATCACAATTGGCAGATAGCTAGATTTCTTAAGTGTATGGTCAACAATCAATTTGATCTCACGCTATGTGAATATGAAAAAAACGTCTTATTAGGAGAGACGAATTCCAGTTTTGTCAAAAAGGAATTTGTTAAAAATAAGTAGGAAAGCTTTCAATCTTCAAGATGGGAAAAATTCTCTGCATGCAAATACAAACACATGCTTTTCGTCCATTTATTTTTCAAAATCATTATAAAAACTTTTAAATTCTGTGAAAATAAAAATAAAATGCGCTATTTCCATTCTTTAATATAAGAGTTTGTTTGACTTTAATTTTAATCATAAATCCGGTCCTTACTATAAGAGCTAGTTGACTAATTTGAACAGATTAACAAAATTATTTAAGATAATTACTTATAATAAATAGGTGTTGTTTCTTCTATAATATCGTTGTCCGTTACTAATTATGTGTATTAGCTCAAAGTGCCATTTGATAAAAAATTTAACATATTGAATTATTAAAAAAACTATCTTAAATAAATAAATAAATATGATAAATAAAATAAATTAAGACCTTATATTAAAAATTAAATTAAATGTTAAATTAGTTTTTATATGAAGGAGTCAAGGTAATATGGTAGCTTCCCGGTGAAATTAAAAAAAAAAAAAAATTGACAACAAATTAGGCCGAATTAAATTTTGATGTCCTGGCCCATACTTTCCCTTCAACCCAACTGCCCGCGTTTCCGCATCCCCGTATCACAGACCAGCCGCTGCCAGCCGCCGTTGCTCTGCTCTCGCCGCCGTTCGGCCGTCCACCGCCATCCAGCTACCCACCGTTCACCGTAGCATCTCAGTCCTGACGTTCTCTGGGAGGTATGTTCGCAATCCCTCCATATTTCTTATCCGTAAGTACTTCCCTGTTTCACTTTCAATGCTGTCCATTGCTTTCAGTAACACTTTCTAAGTCTCTTCTCCCTGGAATCTAGTTCAGCTGTGGCTTTATTTGTGACTAAAGGCCAGAGGTGGTATAAATGCAATCCAATACTTAGGTCCTTCCTTGATATGCCTTGAGATAAGTACAGATACAGTTAGCCGAAGCCAATACTTGGGTTATTTGGGGGGTTTCTCCCCAACATACTTCGATGTAGTAAATTTTAAGGCTGCATAAAACCTTGTCTCATTTCTTTATGCTCAGCATCATGAATTTATCTACGTTTTGTTAGTATTTACAGCTAATGGCTCTTGTTCATTTATACGCGCGCGCGCACGCAGACATGTATATAAGTATTCCAGTCAGGATGCGTGTGGGGGTTGCGTAGAGCAGTATATAGTATATAAGCCGTGTGTGCAGCGTACCACATACAGAGCCCATGCATGTCCCCCTGTATACTACAGCATATATACCGTCAGAATGCTAGAATGTGTTATCATGGTTGAAAGGAATGCTTTCACATCAATGACATTTTTGTAATTTAGTAGAGATAATTATATATTTACACGTCATAGTAATATAGCTGTTATTGATAATTGAAGTTAAAAGTGAGATAAGATCTTTGTTTATATAAAAAATCGATTGAAAACAAAGATGGAATATATTTTATCCTAAAATATCAGATAGGATGTTCCTACAGAAATTTAAAAATATAAAATACATTTTATGAAATAAAAATAAAAATATTTTAAAGAAATTAAACACACTTGTAAATATTTTCAGATTTGAGATGAGAGGGCATTGAAATCTACGGTCTTCTCTAAAGCTGCTACTGCCTCTTACTACACTCTACAACTGGATTCAAGCATTGTACCTTGGCTACTCACCTCCCTCCTCCCTTTTGCTGCACCTGTTATTCAAGTTTTCTGCTTCAATTTTATATTTTAAATTCACACTCTCCCCTACAGTGATTTGAAGCTTGCTCCTTCAGGATTGTTGATCAAGTCTCTGATGGAGTCGTTTTTAGACTTAAATGAAATATGTGAGGAGCAAAATTCGTCATATGCACTCAGATTGGTGCCATGGTTGAACTGGGATGAATGGGTTTTGGTTAAAGATTCTCTATTCTCAGATTCCCCAGATTCCATTGCTTTTGCTCTCAAAAGAGTAAGATTTTGTTCTGATTATTTGCAAGCCTTTTCTGTATGATACAGGGGGATTAAGCTGATGAAAGACTTATTTGCCTTCAGATATCGGCATGGGAAAGTCGAGGATGTTTACCAGCTGCGATTGAGGCTACTGCTTCCATCATTGAAATTCAACAGATGGATCCCTATTTTAGGTAGATTTTCTATTCTGATTTTCACAAGTTTACTCCCTCTGACCTCTTTAGAAGAAACAGTTGAGGGAAACTCTTTGGCCTAAATATATGAAACAACTACCTCTGCCCTTGTGCATTTATTGAAAATTTCATCTTCTACCCTGATGCATAGCAACCATGTCAAACAGGCAATATGGTGGCTTTGGGAAAAATTAAATTTAAACATATTTATTGGCTTTAACTATATTTTATGGTCTGTGTGATTTAGTTATTTGTGTCTTATAAAGAGGTCTGGCGGGAGTATTTACTTATTGTAATTGTTTCAACATAATGATGGGAGTAGGCCTGGGTATATTGTAGGAAGATAGGATGGCAGGTCCAACAAGAGCTGTAATGGGACTTGATGTGGTGTAACTGACAGGGACTGGCAGCAGAGGATTTGAAAGATAGAGTGAAGGGGACATTCAGTTATGTACCAGGGGATGGGAGAGAGATTTTTTAGCTTGTGATTTTGGTAGTGGAGAGCCTAGCCTCTCGTAAGCTATAGACGTTTGATGTTTTTTCCTTGTCTCTGCTGCAAAGTTTTCTTTTGTGCTGGAATGTCAAAAATGATATATCTTTTATGAACTTTGGTTTTTGTAGGGTGGATGATGATCAGTGTAATGATAATTCTCATTCCCTTTCAGAGAAGATGCTTGCTCATTTGTATTGCATGACAATCATTAGGTGAGGTTTTCTTTCAACTTTTTTGGCCTATTTTTTGACATGAAATATTTCTTTATAGCTCTTAGAATTACATCCATAGCACTGGTACAATATACAAGATCAAGTGATTTACAAGTTTTCAGTAATCTATTTGTACTTTCACTGTTTTGAAAAATTAATTAATGAGTTAATATGGCTCAAGATCACGGGTCATGATTGTGTGGTTAATGGAGACTATTGTAGAAGATATTTTGGGGCCCTTCCAAGAAGTTTTGGGATGCTAGGAAATTTAGAATTCTCAGATCTGGGCTTTTTTTCAGCCGTCATTTCCTGTTGTATCTTTTAGCATGAGCAGCTGTGTTCTTTTGGGAAAAGTATCACCAAGCACTTGTGTTGTATGTGACCCTTTAATTCACTACCTTGTTTGCTTAAGGCTTGTCAATGGTGTTATTGAAAAGACGCGTAAAAAAGAAGAGAAGTCCATAGCTGTGGCAGCTGAGGAAATTGGTATTCCACGCACACTGATTGATATTCGTCATGGTAAACAAAGTCTTCTACTATTATTTGTTCACATTTATATTGGAAAATGCCCTTTTGTCCCTTATATATTCCTTCAACTTTAGAGGCATCACATCGTGGACTTCCATCACTTCAACTTCTTCACAGTGCCTCAGTTAAGGTATAGCTCATTTCAGTATATCTTATTATCATTGTCAAGAATTTCTTGCCTTGAATTTCCTTTTGGCTTAATGTTAGAGTATACTTGGTCTATGGGGTGCTGTAAGTGATAAGGTGTGCAGATTTGATGTACTCGTTTGATATGAAGCAATTAGAATAGGTTTCCTTTTCAATGCCAGTATTGATGTAGGAATTTTTTAATATGGTGCACTTGTTGTCGTGCTATAAGATTCTAAAGGTTTTAGATATTTACCAGATTGCTGGCAACATGTTCTATGCAATTGCTTGTTTTTGGCAAATTAAAGTGAAAATGGTGCTGTCCTCTTTTCTCGCAATGAGCTCTCGATTGTCCAAGAAAATAAAATGGACATATTGTTTAGAGAAAACAGGACGGCGTATTGATAGATAGAGAAACAGAGGCAAAGCCTCTGATGCGTCTCCCTGAAAATATTTTCTTCTCTCATTGGTTTTGATATATAGAGCTATAGAGGGAAGGCCTGTGATATATCTGGGCTCATTTTATTGTTGTGTTACATTGAGATGATGATTGTAGGTGTTACATTGAGTTAATGACCTCAAAGAGTGTAATTTGAAATAGACAGATGCCTTTTGTAGCATAGTAGAAATATGTTCATAATTAGCATTACTTGCAATTCTAAGTTACTTTGTTTTTGCCTGGTGGAGAAAAGTTTAGGTCAGCTAGGCTTCACAGTTTCATAGGGCCAGGATTGGGACTAAGGAATTGCTCATATTGGAGAAATTTGTTTCGTTTTTATTTATTTGTAGAATGGAAATTATTGATAAGGGTAGAATAATTATATCCATTAAGACTTATGTGAAGTACGTGGACTCCTGCACCAATTGTTAAATTCTTCCCATTTTCCCCCCTTTTCATGCTTTATTTTACATCATCACTTAGTTAAAAGTTAAATTCTAAACTTGTTTCCTATTTTGGCACTGATGGACCCCGTGAAAGTTAGGGAGCCGGTTCATGAAAAATGGGTTCAGGCATACACTAGAAGAACTGCAAAGACGCAGGGAGTAGAAGCAAATAGAGGAGTAGAATGGTAATGACACAGGGGATAAGTATTGCACGGGTCTGTGAAAGATAGAGAATGAGTGGAACGTGGGGGAGGAATTCTCTTTCCTGTTTCCTTTTTTTTTTTTTTATAATGGGAATAGGGTGAGTACTCGGTAGGTGGTAGCCCATGTTTTGGGTTAGTGTAAAGGAAAGGACCCGACCTCTAGTTCTTTTTATTAAACTTCCTTAAGAAAGATACTCAGGACTTAATTCCATTGTGATCAATGTGTCAACCTGGCCATTTCATGTTTGAAAGAGACACTTCATTCTAGGCTTTGGATGAGCGACATTATTATAGTTTGGAATGACACCTGACTTTTCTTATTTGAGGGTGAAATTGAGTATGTAATTTTTATTGTTAGCTCCGTGATGTTAGCATTGCTGCGTTTTGTATTTATGTAGGAGTAAGGCTTTTTGGTGGGTTACAATTACAATTGATAATTACACTCTCACATGAATTATGGGTATGCATGATTGTCTTTGTTTACTATTAGGTATCTATGGCTGTTACTTAAGCGAGACATGTAGATTATGCTTCACATGAAAAGGGGGGGAAAAAAAAATTCTTTGGCAATCTGAAGGAACAAAATTGAAAAATGAAAAGCCCTCTTGTTTCATTTCCTCTTGTTTTTTACTTTGTAGGCTTGGACGATTAGTGTTCAAATGCTTTGCAAGTGCAATTATTCCCTCGTATGTTTTTACCCTTGCGTATATAACTGATGGTATGCTGTTTTGTTATCAATTTCAGGCACTTGATTGGTTGAAATCTTATTATTGGGAACCTCAGACCAAGGCAATTCCTTTTGAAGGTGATGGAAATGCAAAGGCTAGAAAGAAAATCAAATCCAAGTTTCAAGAACTGTCTTCCTACTTGAAAAGCAACCAGAGTCCCCAGTCTAATAGTCCAATACTCGATGGAAAACGTGTGTGAGCTTTGTTTGTTTTCATCGCTCATAACTTTAATGTTCTTACCGTATCTTTTTAACTATTGACTTTAGTAGGGAATTCTTCATGATAAGTAATTTACATGTCAATCCAAAATTTAATATGTTTGTTTTATGGGGCACAGTTAGGGATGATATATGTGGCACTAGTTGGAACAAGCAGAGATGAGTATGGCAAATACTAATTCTTGTTTTAATTCAGCAATCCAAACGCGAAAGTATGGGTTCAATTGTCATCTTATCTAACTAGGCATGTTGCCTTGTGCGATGCAAGAAGTTTGAAGATGTGTCTCACTTTTCATGGATTGTGAAAAATATGACTTGATAAAGATTTTATTATAGCGTTGATAATTTGATATATCAATGTTCCTATTTTATGACCCCAAAATAAATGAGGCCTTATGGCTGGAATCATTAGTTATGGTATTTCATTTCAATGATGCTGAATCTAAAGTGAATTAAGCAGTGATATCCTGTTATTTTCAGGTTCTAAGAAACAGGTTTCTAAGATATTGAAATCTCTTGTTCAGTTATATTCTTCCTACTCCTCAGAGATTGTAGATGCGTTGTTGGAGTATTTGTTAAAAGCCCTGAGTTCTTCAGAACTAGTAGAGCATGCGACACATGCTTCACTTGGTCCAACCATAAACATTATTTTGGCCAATTGGAAGGTTGTCATACGCAAATTTTGGGATAAGGAGCCGGAATTACTTGTGAACCTTCTCAAGGAAGTACTCATTATGATTGAGACCCAGGAAGCAATGAAATATGAAGAAGGTAGATGTCCTCTTGCTATGCATGCCATCAATATTCAATGTGTTTTTTGGTGGAGGCTAATGTCTGTTGATTAATTATTGTGTGGTACTTGAAAGGGTATTGCCTTTCATGCTTGGTCAATACTTAGGGTGCGCCTAAATTTGGGCCTTTGATGCAATACATTTTATTATGAAGATGGTGGAAGGTAGTTAAGGTGTACTATCCATGGAAATTTTTTGTTGAATAAATTTTCAAAAGCATTTGCTAGATGCCTAATCTAACATGAATTAGAATCAATTTTCAATGTTCTTGAATTTTGTCATATTGGATTATGAATCTGTGTACAAAGATGATGATAACCTTTGTCTTTTATACTTGGAATTACTCTGATCCACTTTTTTTGTATGTCAAGGTAGAGTTATATTATTGTAGTGTCAAGTTTATAATGTGCTTTTAATTACAATTTGTAAGCTTCGAACTGTGGATCTTTTTTCTTGTTCATCAGAGTTGATTTAAGATACAATGTTTTGTTTTGGTTTGTTTAGGCTTGGTATGTGCTTAGTGTAATTCTGCAGCCAGTTTATGGGGAGAGTTTTTCACTTCTGAACTGTGATCATATGTTTCAGCATCTCTGTGGAAAATTTTGCAGTCTATTATAGTAGAGTTCCTAATGATTGTAAAGTTCCATATACATGCATTTGGTTTATCTCCTGTCTTGATATAGAACTGTTTTATTAATTACAGTATTAAGGTTGAGGTAGTTTTATCTTTACTTATTTGTTTCTTTCTCCTCTGTGCAGAAATACAATGTATAGGAACATCACGTAGGGAAGGGTTTTGCCAGATTGATCTTCTTGCATCTTTGTTTGAATGGGTTGTTGGGATTCTAAACAAAGTACCATCTGCTAAAGCAAATGTACCGAAAAGTGTTTTGCTTGAACTTGTACGAAAATGTCTTCGAATACTGCCTCCTAGCAATAAGCAGCTAATGGATTCAGCCCTTCTCCTTGCAAAATTGATGGATGATAGCTCTTTAATGGAGAAAGTTGAAAAGCTCTCCCATGTCATTCTATCCAACTCAGTCATAACCAATGATGAAAGCTCTTTGCCCATGGCTTCAGTGAATTTCCTTCAGATGGAGGAAGAGATACGGCAAGCTGCTAGAAAGCTGGAGTCGTTTAAACAACGAGTAACAAAGAGTAAAACATCATCATCAATGGATTGCTTAACTGACGAGCCTCGGACATGGGCTTTGGCTAAAGAATGGAACCCATGTCCAATCGGCATGTTGCCCCGCACTGCTGGTTCATCTGGTTATCTTCCTTCACTTGATCGTATTGATAATGGGAAAGACATTCATGAATTGGATAGGAAGGAGACTCAGAAACCAATCAAACATGGTGTCAAGAGAGATGCCACTTTGGACCTTACGCTGCTTGATGAATCAACTCTTAAGAAGATAAGAGAGGCAGGACAAGTTTCTGAATTAGAGCATGATGTATTACCACCAGTTAAAGCTAAGGGATGCTTACTAATAGATGGGCTTTGGAAGAGTGTCACAGAAGAAGAGTTTCGAGCCATTAAGTCGTCTGTGAGGATTTTAGTTTAACTCACTGTGTTCTTGTCTAGCTTGTAGATATCATCCAATTTTGTTCAAAAATAGGCTGGTTATTGAAGTGGTATTGATTTACAATTCATTAGCAAAACATAGTTGAGGTCAGTGGAATTCCACTAAACACAGTCAATTTATTATACCCATATGTTGGTAATACCATATGGTCGTCAGTTGAAGAAATGACAGGTATTTCATGTCTTCTCTTCCTGCATTCTTAAGTCCATGTTCTTTGCTGGACAAAATTTACTATTATGAATATCCACTTTTGAGTAAATGTTTGGGAGTTTAATTCCTAATTTTTTTATGAAATAAGCTTAGAAAAGTTTTATCCTTTACCTTCAATACTTAGGAGGAAATAGTATTTATTATTGACTAAGCATACTGGTCTTAGTTGATGACAAAAATAATTTATTGAATGTAGCTAGAGGAGAGCCAGGAAAAGAGTTAGAATTAGAATTTGTGAATAATTTCTTGGCAGATTCTACTGTACTTTCTCTTCCACATAACCCTGCCCCTCCATGACTCATTTAAGTGTAATTCTAACTTTTTACAAACGCATGAGGTGAAGATGAGGAATGTGTTAAAGAATAGTTCTGTTCGAGCATATTTTGGTCAGCTAATCCAATCAAAATAAGATAGAAGTATTTTATTTTTAACACATCCCCATCTTTACCAAGTTACCCTCAACAACTCCCCGATATTTAATTAATTTTAAACAAAGGGGTCATAACTTTTTCACGGTTAATTAAATGATTTTATTTTAATAGTGTTTTTGTTTGTTTCCTGTTTTTTTCTTCTTCTCAACTTTACATACAAATATCACTTTCTAAAGTTAATTTTTATATCTCGTAATACATTTCATTTTTTATTTAAAATATACAAATATTAGTGTGTATATATATTTTGAAATTTCTTGAGAAAAGCCATGGTTGGTTGGATTTTTTAACTCATTCATATTGCATGCATAACATGTATTAGACAAGGCTTTCCTTCATGCTATTGTTTACCCTCCGAAGATTTGCACGATAAGTTCCTATATAAATTGCTGCTGAAAAGTATATCAGCAGCGTGAATATAATATATAAACTCTAGCTATTTATAAAATTTTAGTTACTTACTATTACTATCTTTGAACAACTAAAAAATTAGTTAATATTTAAATATTTTAATCAAGAGTTATTGTTGTAGTGCTTGATTAAATTATTAAATTACAAAATAAATAACAAAGCCTTTGATACGAAGGTAAGTTGCTCAAATGAATGATAACATACCTAGTAATTTGCTTCTTAGATCTTAATAGTCACCTCCAGCATCCTATCTTGTAATACTTCAAAATTTATCAAGTTTCTTTGCTCACAAGATATCTTCAACTATATTTGAAGGTGGAGCTTAAAAGAGAAAGTTTATGAAGTCATGGATATGTGCAAAACTAACTTTATTGTTAGCCAAGAAAAATGGCTCATGGTAAAAACAAGATAGATATTGATCTCAGAATCTTTTGTTTTTGGATAAGGTGGGAATAAATAAAATGCCTTTCCCTTGTAAACTTGAATTTGGAGTTGTGTCACATCGCATCGAAGAAGAGTTAAATCCACTGTGAATGATATTTACCATAAAATGAATTTAGTTTGCATGTTTCCTCTCTATCCCTACATTTTCAATTGTGGCTGGGGATGGTTTTTTCTTTTAAATAAAAGACAATTTTGTTAAAACCTAGATAAAACGATACATTAAAAAAGCTTTAACAACTAACATATTAAGGTATGCAGCTGCGAAGCCCAACAGTAAAAGGAATTGTGAGAATAGTTAAGTTCTTAAAAATAATCTATAAATTAAAATGGAAATGAAAGTAAAATGTTTTGCTTTGAGAATATTTTCAACTAAATAATCCTTTTACTAGACTTACTTATATCATAGATCTTGACATCTTGTGATATAAGCACCTTGGAAAAAAGTGGTATAAAAATTGAATTCATTCTTCAAAATAAAATAAAGAAATAATCGTGTCTTGCAATAAAATATCCACAACAATTTTTTGTTAAGTTTTATATAATTATAAAATATTTATTTTGATATTCAAAATTCATTATTTATAAAATTATAATTTATAAAATTGTAAATTGTATAGCTTAGACGATGGTTGAAATTAAATATAGACATTTTAAAAGTTTATACTGCTTCCATCCTCAATATAAGACTGGATAACTAATTTGAATAGTTAAGTTAGTTATTTATAATAAATATATCTTAATTTTTTAAATTATTTTTTTTAATCATATGCATTAGAACCATTTTTTGATTAGGAGTCCTCTTAATATATGCAATCAGTAATAATTTGAGTAAAAAATTATAAATTTGAGAGGCAAAATAAATTAAGGTCTTTTATTTAAAATAAAAGTAAATCCCTTCTCTAGCTCCTATATTTAGAAAGTAAGTAATGTATTGATTCCATCATTCTTAAAAATAAGTGTATTACTTATTTATTTAAACACCAAATTTTTCACCCGCAATATCATTTATTGATATGATTTTTTTAATTAAAAAAAATCTTTCCATTCCATTCATGAAATGACCGCAAGTATCACTCTTCTTTTGATTTTCTACTACTTTTATAACAATGCTCAAAAGTGAGATTATTATAATGTCAATCAATATCATGACCACTCCAAGCAACCCTTTTGCATACCGTTTCAAACTTCATTCAGCTGCAATAGCAATTCCGCAGGGAAATAGCGGGTTGGTAAAAGAAAGTTGATTTTACCATAGCAATGTGGTCAGAAGGAACAAAGTATAGAATTACAATCATCCACTTGTATTATTTGAATATTCTTTTTTTTTTTTTTGGAAAAAAATAGACAGAACGTCTCTCATACAACATATCTTTGATCCCAGAGACTGACATTATTTTTCAGTTACCTTCATCCTTCACCTGAACCTTGGGCCTGCAACAGTGCTTCCTATTGTGTTCCTTCATTTCTGTCACTTTCCCACGAAAATCTTCATCTTTACGAAGATCAGACCTCCTCTCCAAGAACTCAGAATTCTCCTTCCAAACTTCACCATTAGAGTAAACCTCCTTCTTCCAAATAGGCACTGTTGCCTTGAGCTCATCTATGAGAAACCTACAAGCCTCCAGTGCATCATCTCTGTGGACGGCAGAAACTGCAATGAACACACTTGTTTCTCCCACAGGAACTGTGCCTAGACGATGAGCAACAGCAATGGAGTGCAGGTTCCAGGATGCTCTAGCAGAGGAACAAAGAGACTTTAGACATCGAATCGCCATTGGTACATATGCTTCATATCTCAACTCGATGACGGTTTTGCCTTCAAAGGTATCACGTGTTGTGCCTGAGAAAGTAGCTATAGCTCCAGCTTGAGGGGCACTGACATAATTCATATATTTAGCAACATCTATCGGATTAAGGTCTTCCAGAATTTCTACTAGGTTTTTATCTTCAGCGGCCATTTTTTTCTCTATGAACCTGCTGAGCTTATCTTGAGTTAACAAGGTGCTTGATAGCTTTTCTTCCCGTAAAGATCAGAGAAATTAGGTCTGGTGGTCCGTCCTTCAAGTTGACTAGATCTTCTCATAGTTTCTCATAGTTGCAAAAGGCATGATGAAGCTAAAGAATTGACAAGTTATGACGTCAAAATCACATGACTTACTATAAAGTACTGATTAAAAAAAAAAAAAAAAACAAATGCAGAGTCAGGATACATCTTAAAGATTCTTAGGCCCTTTGCAAAAAAGAAGTTTCCAGGATTAATGGAAGTTCTAAAAAGTTGAAACTGCGAGGTCAAATTAGTAGTGTTGAAATATGTCATGAGCGTCTCACCCTCTTTCTATCTCTAATGAATTTTATGTTCAGCATCATCAAGAATTACACAATAGGCAGATCAAATCACCAATTCAAATAGCTCAATTAAAAAACTGTGTGACTAGAACCAGAAGAAAACCCAACTAACCTCAAACTGCAACACATTGAAATTCAACATTTCAAGTATCAATAATATTTATGGAACAATTTAGTAATCAATATTTAAGCGGGACAGAATATTTGTGAGGTCAACTCTCAACAGACATCCCCATAAGATAAACGTCTATAAGGCATTCAATCAAATTGATACAAGCTTGCAGCTTTTACTGACAACATTAGAGATATACATGTAAAAATAAGCATCTATAAAACTCCCATGTCATCAAGAAGGTCCAATATGTCAAACACAGCAATTATAGGGCATTGATCATATCTTAGGCTCAAAAGCTCAGAATTAACTAACTAAAAACTCAAATGAGTACCTTCTAGCTTAACAATAATCAGCTTCCAGCAATTGATTTAATTCTCAAAGCTAGAAATAGAGGAAAATACTACAACGGGTCCAGCTAAGGAAAGTGGGTCTGAACTCTGACCCCACGCCCAAAGAGTGTATATTTGCTCATTTGAGCTTTCAACAGACGAACTTTAATTACAATATTATTCAGTTGCCGTCTGCTGTACAGTATCTCCGCAATTGTCAACAGAAAATCATGGAACAGAGAAGAAAGTAAAACAGAAAACCTGAGAACCTACCTCGAACGAAAACCATCACCATCATGAAGATAAGACAGCCAAACATCGCAGACCCAGAATCGAAATTGTTAGATGCTGAACTCCAAAAGATGAGGCCGAGGCAATCCAAGAGAAAATGATGAAGGAACTATTGGAGCTTTCTAATTGCCACCTGCTCTCTTGTTTTTTCTTGAAATAGAGGAATGATTGTGAGAATGGCTTTGACCCCACCAAGAGCCACGAAGAAAAGGGATGCGGACTGCGAATGGCAAAACCGCAAAATCAAATCCAGATTTGTAGTGTGTTGTGGCCACAGCTCGGTGGACGGTGGGCCAGAAAATTGAACTGGTTAATCAATCTCGTCTACTAGTCCTTTATAAAGAGTTTTGGATTATTTTTTTTTTTACAATTTTTTTCAATAGCCCACCAATTTATTATTTCATAAATTTTTCATTATATATTAATATTGGTTAAAATATGTATTTGGTCCTTTCCCTTTATGTAATGTTTCAATTTAGTCTTTTAACTTTCAAAAGTCTATTTTTATCCTTTAATGCTATCACTAGGTTTAAATTGTGTGTTTTTTTAAATTATAGTTATTCTAAAAATTGGACTTAATATATTGACATTTGAAAATGTTTTATCACTATTTAAAATTTCAATTCCATCATTGTTTATTAATAATTTTAGGTTTAAAGGACTAAAAATATACTTTTTAAAATTAAGGGATCAAATTGAAACCTTATACAAAATTAAAACACCAAGTGTATTTTTTAACATATTAATATTTTTTTTTGGATTAATGTATTTTTTATTCAAATAATAATTTTTCAGAATTATATACAAATATTTATGTTAATTTTAATTACATTATATTATCTAATTATAATTGAATTAATATAAATTGAATTACAATTACAAGTTAGACCACTAGTTTTTGAAACAACTATCTATATTAATTTAATAACTCCCTGAGTTTTCAGCACCTTCATTATCACTGTAATTTTATTATTTATTTCTACACACTTTTTTTCTTTTTTTAGTTTACCTATTCGACAACTTTGAGTTGACTTTGTGCTAAAGTGATGTTGATGTATTTATTTTATTTCTTATATAATAATCCAGTATAAATTTAAATATTGTGGGATTCAAACAGAAATTTTATTTTGCAAATTTTTATTCATACTACTTGAATTATTGGCTTTAGTTAAGATATATTGTGTTCTAGCCAATCGGTCTAAATTATGATAGCCGAAATTGTTGGCAGCAGCAGCAATAATAACAATAATATTTGGTAACACTAAATTATTAGAAAAAACAAATACGTTAAATCAAATTTACGTTGATCTTAGGGGGTGTTTGGCAAAACCAAAACCTAGGTTTCAGAATCACTTTTCCGCAAAACGAGGTAACCTCCTCCACATATTTACTTCGTAATCCGTAAAAGCACTTCTGAAACCATGGTTTGGTTTCTATCCAAACATCCCCTTAGAAGCCAGAAGCCAGAAGCCAGAAGCCCAGAATCAGAAAAAATTTTCTAGTCCAAACTAATCTATATTCTTTTTTTTTTTGAGTTTTTTTAATACTATCTTAGGATCACTGTACACCTTTTTTTTTTTTGCCCCCAAAATTATGATATGGAAAACAACACTCAATCCTATTTTATATATATATATATATATATATTGGGAGAATGACAGAAAAAGAAACTGAAAATTACAAATTTCAAATCAGATTTGATAACATAACTTTATCTAGTATTAATAAGTCTGAATTTGCAAATAATAATAAATTTTTGTTGATATTCCTTATTTGGCATTTACAAAATTTCAGCCTCTTTTTTTGTTATTGTCCCATATATATTGCTATTTTAACTGTACAAAATATATTGCAATTTTAATTAAAAATTTTATTCCCAACGGTCTTGAACTGAAATTTTAGAAATCCCTCGGGTCTCGTTAATAGTCTCATATATGGGACTCAATAATCAAATGAAATTCCCGATAATTTTTTAGGAATACTGGGTGAAAGTCCCCATTTGAAAAATATTGGTAAATGGAATCTTATAATTTACTACCTCCTATCCTTAATATAAGATTCTATTTGACTTTTATTTTGATCCTAAATATAAGACCCCAATCCACTTTATCTCTTATATTTATACATTTTTTTCCAAACTAGCCCTTCTAATAATAAAAGTTTTAGTCAATACACTTGATTAGTATGGATATTTTAGAGAAAACAACACCTATTTAGGACAAATAACTAACTCAACTTACTTCCTTAATCTCTTCAAATTAGTCAACTGGCTCTTATAATTAAGATCGGAGGTAGTATCATATTTTGAGGTCCTTTAGTATAAATTAATTTTAAAATAAAAAGACCAAATTACTTTTAATTGCACAGATTGAGAGTTTATTTGCACATAAGAAATATATGTTGTATATTATTAGAGTGTGCTTGCACTTAACCTAAGTTGCACATAATGGAAGATAAATTGAAAAAAAACAAAAATTTTAGTTGCATATAGGAAAAATATATTGCATATAAGAAAAAGTCAATTACACTTAATTGAAATTACAAATAATGGAAGCTAAAATGTATATGGGAAGTTTAGTTACACATAAGAAAGATATATTACACATAAGGTAGGTTAGATTGAACACAAAATGCTTTGAACATCATAGAAGATAAATTGCATATATAGAAAGTTTAGATGCACATCATAAAAATATATTGCATATAAGGGAAGTTAGATTGTAGAGGATATGTTTTAAACATAATGAAAGATAAATTACATATATAGAAAGTTTAATTGTACATAAGAAAGACATATTACACATTATTGAATTTTGATTACATCTAACTTAAATTACACATAATAAAAAATAAATTGCACAGATTGAGAATCTAGTTGCATGTAGGAAAGATATATTACACGTTAGTGAAGTTCGATTGCACATAACTTAAGTTGTACAAAACGAAAAATAAATTACATAGACCAAGAATTCAGTTGCACATAGGGATGATATATTACATGTCAGAAAAATTTAGTTGCCTTAACCTAAATTGCACATAATAGAAAACAAATTGCACATATGAGAAGTTTAATTGCACATAAGGAATTATATTGCATGTAAGGAAGTTTAGTTGTATTTCATGTAATTTGCACATATTGCATTTAATCTAACTTGCGTTACATGTAATATATTTTTCTTATATGCAATTAAAATCTTCATTTTATCTTCTATTATGTAACAATTTATAGGTTAAGTGTAATGAACTTTTTCTTATATGTAATATATCTTTTTTATGTATAATTGAATTTTCATTATGTGCAATTTATCTTTCATTATATGCAACATAGGTTAGGTGCAGTCAGATTTTAATAATATGTAATATATATTCCTTATGTGTAACTAAACTTTCAGTCTATATAATTAATGATATTTTGGTTTTCTATCGTCACATTTAGCAATAAAATTTGAAATATAAAAATTAGATTAAAAAGAAAAAATTAAAAAAATGAAAAAATCCAGATGAATAAACAAACAAATAAATAAAATTTCTGCCTCGCGGCGAAGTCCAAAGGCGGGGTTTCTTTCTTCGATTGATTAGGGTTTTGCGCAGAGTGGTGGAAAGGAAGCCATGAGCAGGAGCTTGGGAATACCGGTGAAGCTACTTCACGAGGCCACTGGTCATGTGGTCACCGTAGAGCTGAAGAGTGGAGAACTCTACAGAGGAGGTATGATCGAGTGCGAAGACAACTGGAATTGTCAGCTCGAGAACATTACCTACACCGCCAAGGTACTTTTCATTCGTACTAGTGTAGTTTTCCTGCATTTATTACTCGTCTCCGCAATGTCTTTTATGTAGGTGTAGGTTTTGGATTTTGTTCAAATTGCGCTGAGCTTGGTTTTGTGATTAGCAAATTTTAATCTTTGTTGCAATGGTAAATGTCATTGCAAGTTTTCTGAACAGTATCAGATGTCGTCTATGAAGAAACTCGTATGGTAGACACACATGCACATTACCTTAGAAAGAGGGATTAGGAAGGAAAGATAGGAAGTAATTGAGAGATCACCAGTCTTTTGGTTCCTTCTAAAGGCTTGTGAGAAATCTTACTCTGTGTCTGCAAGCTTGGAAGCTTACTCAATGCATTTTGATGAGTGATATTCTCTGTACAAGTTAATTCAAATTATGCGCTCTTGATCGAATCTCCTGCTGGTTTTAGATCAGACGAGTAACTGTTATTTTAAAGGCTGGATTTGCTCCCGCTTAGACTGTAAATCATGGTTAAACTGAGAAGAACCTAGATTTGAACTGTATAAGATTGATCATGGACATGGTCATTTGTTGGGCATTTCCACTTTCCTTAGCTGAGACATGGCCAGAAGCAAATTTCCAGTTGTTTGAAATCTGGGCTATGGATTTTATTATTTTAAGTTGCACAAGTTAAATATGAGCATGTGCAGAATTCAGAAAGCAAGTGAAAAGTACATATTAGTTTCATTTAGTCAGGTATAAATGGAATGGAGCCAGTGAATCAAACAAATAAGCTATGAGTGTTACTGTCACCTGCTACTGGAGTAGTCATGACATTATGTATTTCTCTGCATAATTTGTTCAGATATAGGAAAAATATCACTGCATTCATACTACATGGCGAATATCTACACTAGAGTCTATTTTATCCGATCACCAATGCCTGCCATTTTTATTTCAGAATTCAGACGTTATGCTTGTCAGTTCATCTTGCACAATTTTTAGCTTGATGAACTTTATTTGTTCCTAATTTAAATTTTGTAATTAGCATTTAACATGAAGCTTGGAGGACAGTGTTAGGCCATGTATTAGTTCTTCCCCTGCCATTCTGAAAAAATAGTAAAGCCAAATGGACTCTAGGAGGCTTACATTGGCTAAAGATGAGCATACCAAATATCTCCAGTACTGACATTATCTCTCAGACATGTTCTGTTTTGGAACATGCCCGGTGTCAACCTCAATTTTGCACCCAGCCTTTCCAGTTTTGTTTATTTACCACTGACGTACTCATACCAGAAATGTGAGGGGCCTAAGAAAGTGCGATTATTATTCAATTTTAAAAGTTGTAGAGAGGTTTGTCTCAGCAATTTCAACTTTTAAGTATACAATTATTAATTTGATCTTTGCTTAAAAAAATTATTTGATCTTAACACGCTCTGAACCTCATCTTTTTTGCTGACCATGGCCATACGTTCCTCAGGATGGAAAAACATCCCAACTTGAACATGTATTCATTCGAGGCAGCAAAGTCAGGTATGAACTACCTTCTGTACTTAAGGATTGAGTGAAGTTTTTTACTCCAGAGACGGTTTTGTGATTCTTTATGGCAATTATAAGTGCTCTGAAATGCTGTGACTTGGACATTTTAACAGGTTTATGGTCATACCAGACATGCTGAAGAATGCTCCCATGTTTAAGCGTTTGGATGCTAGAATTAAGGTAACTTCATGTCTTCCAATGATCAGGGACGCTTTTATTGTATATATGTTCTGAGTGTGATTTTTGCTTCTTGAAATCTTGTGAAGGGCAAGGGTGCATCACTTGGAGTTGGTAGGGGCAGAGCAGTTGCAATGCGAGCAAAGGTATTTATGCTCACATTCTTTGATTATATAGACCTAACTTTCCTTTTGGCCATATCCATGATGTGTGTGTTTTAATTCCAAACTAGATACGTTTCCCTATGCTTGAGTCATACGATTAATAGTTTGTGAATAATTTAGTTTGTTATGTATTTTAGATTGATGATTACTTATATTGATGTTGCCTGTGCAGGCTCAAGCTGCTGGCCGTGGGGCTGCACCTGGTAGGGGGGTTGTACCACCAGTGCGGAGGTGATTAGTCTTGTAATTACCTTTTCATCTCTGCCCTTCATTTTCCCTCTGCATGCTGAATGTGGATAGCCGGACGAGAAACAACCTCCATTTCCCCTCACCATGTTGGACGTTGGTAACCAAATCAAAGGAGGTGGTAATTGAAAAGAAAAAAGAACACAGCTAATATCCTGTGTCCTTTCTACCCCAAAAAAACAAAAAAAAAATCCTGTGTCCTATTCCACCATCATGTGATTTTATTCCTTTTGATTAGTCATCCTCAACTGCTATTCGGTATTGATGTCTGGTTTTTCGGTGCTAATAGAATTATATACTAGTTCAACTTTTATTTCGAGCCCCTAGTTATGTTAGGGGTTAGGTACGTTGTGGTGTGTTTGAACTGGTTTACAGTGACATAAAAATACTGGAGCAATAACATTTGCGTCGTTTATAAGGGAATTATAATTTAAGCAGTTAGTCTTCTTTTATTACAAACTAAGCCCAAAATAGATCAGCCCTTTGTTAAATGTGTGTATACCGTGATAGGTTAGGTTATACACAAATCTATTGTATAAATGCCTCAACTCATAACAGTAATGTGTGTATACCGTGATAGGTTAGTTTATACACAAATCTACTATATAAATGCCTCAACTCAAAAAGTGATTTCATATGACAATATGGCCATACGAAGAAGATAGATGGTATTATATTATTAATTAAATTTAATGTTATAAGGGATTCTCATTAAAGCCGTTTAAGAAGCTAAGTGACCACTTTTAAAACCAACCCCCCCCCCCCCCAAAATTTTTTTTGGGAAAACTAAGGGGCGAAGTGGGTTGTAGAATCTACTTTGTCATACTTTTCTCTTCAATTAGGGCATCAATGTTTTTTTTCAATAAGTATGCACATATTTCATAATTGCATTTATGAGACTTTGATTGTGTTGAAGGCTTCAAAAATTCAAAATTAAGAGTACGTTATCCTTTGGACAGTCGTTTAAACCGGAGAGATCTATGTATAATGATCCTTGAAACATTCAAGCATGACGCTTATTATAGACTTGTATAGCAAAACATGAAGCTTTATAGTCTTGTTTAGCGGAAATCCCATGATGATTACCTTGCAGAGAGAATAGTGATTAATTCAGTGTTGCCAGTATATGTGAGAAGTAATGTTGAGTCTCAGTTTATACTCATTTAAAGAGGAGAAGTAATGTGGATATGTGTGTGTGTGTGTGTGGATATATATATGTGTATGTATATAATGATCCTTGAACAAAGCAAGCATGAAGCTTATTATAGCAAAGCGTGAAGCTTTGCTGTGTTGTTTAGCATAATATCATGAATCATGATGACTACCTAGCAGAGAGAACAGTGATTAATTCAGTGTTGCCACTATAATCACATGAATTTCTGGACATAATGTCATTTATTCCCATCTCCAAAGCCAGACATTCTTGTAGTTCTCGCAATATGTAACTTATGTTTGGCCTCTGGGATGGTGGTGGTAACACACATGAAATTGCTACTTCAACAGCTTTCCATGTTGAATTAACACTGAATCCTGCAGCTAGTCTTGGATCAACAATGCCTTCAATATCCCCACATTCAATTTTAGGTTGAATCCAATCAACAATGAAACTGATATCCTCAGGTCCTCTATTTATTGGAGGGCGACCCGTTATTAGTTGAAGAAGGATCATTCCAAAACTATAAATATCACTTTTCTTGGTTAGTTTTCCAGATCTTTGAAATCTGCAAAAGATGACAATCAGTTAAATAGATTTTTCTAGTGTATTTTAACGATATTACAGGAGAATGAATTGAAACTAGACGGTATTATGTTGTCTTTTATAGTTCTTTAGAAAATGTGTTGAGATTTTATTTTATTTTGATATACAAGAAATACTTACTTAGGATCAATATAACCAGGAGTACCAGCTGGTTGAGTTGATAGATGGGTGTCGCTTTCATTGACAAATACTCTAGAGAGTCCAAAATCAGCAATCTTGGCTATCATAGATTTATTTAATAGAATGTTGGATGGCTTCAAGTCTCGATGGATTATAGGAGTACTGCAACCAGCATGAAGGTATTCCAATCCTGGGGCCCCATCGATGATTATACAAGAAAGGAATGTATGATGAAACTAGTTACAAAGATAAATAGTATACTCACCTTACTCTTAAATATTGAAGTTTGTTAAAAAGTTTAATTTGATCTTAAATATAAGATTTCATTTTATTTTGTTTTTTAAATTTATAATTTATTTTTCAAACTTTTTTTTTGACGGGCTTTACACAATTGATCTCCATCATATAAATACCTTTTCAACACGACATATGTCATCAAAAGGATCTTCGAGACCCACCAAAACTCGGAAGCTAGGATCTTTCACAAAAAAATAGATTCCTATTTAAAAAGTGCGTAGCTCACACCAGCTCGTCAATTTATTTTAGGATATTTCCTGGGAGGTACTAGGAAGGAATTGGACTGTAATTAATTATCTAATGCAAATGATTAAATAAAATATTTCCAGGAAATTAGCACATGCTTCTTGTTTTTTAATAAATAACTCATTTAACTAATTTTTTTTAATATTTAGAAATTTATTAATTATCTAGCTCCACACTAAAGGCAGAAGAGTGTAGCAGTTTAGTCACCTTTTGCTGCGTCAATTGCAATTTGAAGCCTCTCATTCCACTTCAAAACATTTGAGTTTTTCTCTGCCGAGAAAAAAAAAAAAAGGCTTGCCAACCATATAGATAATCGTAAACAAATGGAAAACACAAAAACTACACCACCAGGTGATTACTAAAAAGTTGTAAATAATCAGAAGATGTGAGAAACCTGATAATAGCTGGGCAAGGTCCCCATTATCCACATATTCATAAATCAATGCCATTATGTTGTTTTCATGGCAATATCCAACAAGTAAAACCAAGTTTCTATGGTGAACAACCGTTAAGAGCTGAACCTACAAGTCAAGAGTTAATTATACTAGCTCCGTCATATAAAACTGATAATTTGCATATATTTAGAAAGTAGATTTTAAATATCATAGATGCATCTTTTTCATGTCTAACCTCTGACTGAAACTCCTTGTATCCTTGCTTTGATGATTCTGAAAGTAATTTTACTGCAACTTGAGAAGTATCTTCTAAAGTGCCAAGGTAAACTTTCCCGAATCCTCCTTTTCCAATAAGAGTTTTGAAATTGCTGGTGATTTGAAGAACTTGCGAGTAAGAGAATTCTCGATTCTTCCGTTTTGGAATTTCCATCTTCAAGTATTTATTTGTAGATAAATCTGCATCATTGTATTAAATGATTTTAGACTTGAAACACACGTTTAAAAATAACTTGAGAGTGTTATATTCCCAATGAATCGACAAATAGATAAATAAATAAATAAATACCATGTCTGTTCTTTCTCAGTCTCCAAATCATCACAGAAAGAATGGCAATTAGGATAATGACTGTGATTGATGTAATAATAAGAGGGATAATAACAAATTTGCGTTGGTTGTCGTCGCATGAATCTAACTGAAACTGGCCTGGATTGTTGGCTACACTGGCAAAATTGGAAGAGGTATTAGTTGAGCAAATGAGGTTCGATTTTACAGATATTGTCAAGGACAAAGAATATTATTGATAAACAAAGAATTAAAGATACCCACTCACTTATACTTAATGATTTATTATAGTTAATGATTTATTGATTTATTATAGTTAATGATCTGGACTTAACACTTATTAGCAGTAATAAGTAGTATGTCCTAGCAAATGGTGGAAAATGGCCAATATGAAAAGTCTTGAAATTGACACTTCCTTTTATACACACACATACACGACTTCAAGACTTTCTACATCAGCCATACAACGGGACAAGAAGTTTATCCAATTTGGTCTCAAACAAGAATATTAAACTAGAATCTGATTTTGACATTGAAGACAAGTAAACCTGAACATCAAATTAGCATTTTCCTTCAAAGCCCTGGGAATTGAACCTGAGAGCTTGTTTCCATTCATATTACTGCAAGATAGTAAAAAGAAACTAATGTAATTTTGAGATACATGATTTCACATTCTGGTAATTTTCCTATCACTCAAGGTCTTACATGAATTTTAAATTAGGAAGAGTTGCAAGAAATTCTGGTAGTTCTCCTATCAATTCATTGTTGGACAAATCCCTGTGAACAAGAGGTTAGTATTGTTCATAATATCAAACTATATATATGCTTAATAATAGCATTTGGATGTTGGGAGCCTATCTTATACTCCTCCGGTCCTAAATATAAGACCCTTATACTAGTGTATAAGGGTCTTATATTTAGGACCAGAAGAGTATTACAACTTACAAGTACTCCAAATTTTTCAAAAGCGCAAAGGATTCAGATATTTGTCCTTTGAGTCTGCTTGACCTCAAGTACCTACAAGTTGGAGTTCATAAACTTATAAATCATTTCCGACATATTAGCTGAATAAAGTAAAATTAAACCTCATGAATTCTGCCGTAAAATTTAACAACTTTCTACCTTTAACCATATTTGACATATACACTTTTCAAGAACAATATAGATAATAATAAATGAAAAGTAAAATAGTATATTCATGTTAAAAATTTAATAATGTGACTTTAGGACTAAATAAAATATCTCTCTGTCTTATAAATATGACTTCTTACAATGAAATGATTCTTGTATTGTTGCTAGAGTTGCATCTAACACCTTCCCATGTAAAAGTAGAAGGCACACATGGGTCCCCTTGCCAACTGATTTTGGATATCCCATAAGCACGCTTGATCTCCATCATGGCAATAACTATATAATTTCCAATAATACACAGAAAGACCCAGTTGAGTTTTCCTTCAATATATTGATCTTATGAATTTGGACCAAAGGAAGGAAAAAACGAAGAGAAAAAAGAAAGAAAGAAAAGCAATATATACCATCTTGTGCAACTGTAGGGGAATTTGGTTGTGGGAATACTTTGAAGATCTCAAAGGTATTGAGGATAGGAGGGGCATAAGAATCAACTGTTGCGCTAATGTTGAAGTTAACATAATTTGAAGTTATGTTGGAACTTACGGTGACAGGTTTCAAGTATTCAAGAGTAAGTTCTCGAGAGTTGTAGTTGTCCTTATTAAAAGTGACGTTGATAATCCTCTTTTTGCCAGAAGGAAGCTTTTGAATTTCAGCGAAATGAAGAAAAAAATAAAATTGTTCTGGTATATTATCAATCCATCTTTCAAATGAGACACTGGAATCATTATTCTTGGGTTGACATGCTGTGACTAATATTTCTGATGGAAGCTCATACTTGGAGTTTTCTACTTTTACTTGTGCATCTGTTTCTAAGACTCCCAATAACCAGTCTTTTTATATAAATACCACAAGCGGTCATAAACATCGTCCTTGGACCTGCATTTTAATTTCCAAAACATTAATTGAGCGAAGGAATCACAAAACAAAGGCAAATTATTAACAATGTAACTTATTATTTAAACTTTTCACAATTCTATATGTCTATTTTTTTCCCTTAACGCAGTCTATTTAATTAAACCTCTTTTATATTTCACTTAATTTAATTATACAATATATTTGTAATGCACTAAACGTCAATTCTATACCCTATTCATAGTAGGTATGCTGTAAGCCTTGCCTAAACCTCCATATGTTGTCAATTCTATGTATCTGAAATTTTTACGATGGAGAAATACAGCAACAATAATAACAAGCTTTATCTCACTAAATGGAGTTAACTAATGAAATGAATTGCATGATACTTTTTACAAACAAAAAATAATAAGAATTGAAAATTGTTGAAAAAGTTGGTGCAGAGTAGGAAGTCTACCTGACAAATTTGGTCCTAGAAGAACTGCCACAATCTCCTCTTGTGTCTAGAGATAAAGGAAATGGAGAGGAATAGAAGGAGGTTCTCAATGGCCTTAATTCCAATGTGTTAATAAAAGGTGTGCCTTCTCCTATGTGTACCAAACACACTTGAACCATTCCATTATTGGTAATCTCTTGGATTATTATTTCATGATATCCAAACGTTTTATTTTCATTCAATTGAACTGTTGTCCAATGGTTGACCCCTAAGTAAAGGTCAAACTTTGGGAACTTGTTTTTGTAGTCAAAATTCTGATAAGCAAATGAAGCTCTGATCAAATACTTCTGCTTTTGTTTTATTGGTCTCAAAGTGTAACAGTTCCTTTCTCCCTCTGGAAAACTTCTGAATGTTTTTAGCTGACGCCCCATGTATGGAAGCTCATTGATGAATTTAAAGATGGCTGGTATTTCACGATTGGATCCACTTTCTATGAAGCCTTCATCTGTTTGGTACCAAATCCCAGTTATTGCATCAACATAATCTCCGCTTGCTCCACAGTCTATACTTATGAAACCTGCACAGTTTTGATCCATAATTTCTTAAATTGAGGTGAAAAAACTAATAACAGGAATCCCCCCCACCCCCAAACAAAAGGGGGGCCGGGCGAAAAAAAGAAGAAGCTAGGTGGTCACGTTTGTACCTAAATTGAGAAAGTCAGACACTGTTATATACAGACGTGGCCACCTAGCATTTGTTTTTTTTTTTTTTTTGAAGTTTCCTGTTCTTGCTTTTTTAGTGCCGGTGTATAAAAAAACAAATTTAAGAAATTATGACGTTCACTATTGAGAAATTACAAATATAAGTAATGACTTCGGAAAAAATAATAATACTATTTCCGACTCTTAATATTATAAATATAAGTAATGGATGTGACTCATACCCCATAGGAATATAAGTTTCAATCTAAATTACTACTGTTTAGTAAAGTAAAATAGGAAAGTTTTTCTTATCCAGATAATGTAAATAATTTAATTACCTTTTTATATTCCGGCCAAATATTTAGAAGTAAATTTGTATGAAGAATTAGAGCCTTAGAGGCAATATTTTATACCTTCTCTATTACCCAGTACACGAAACAAAATGGAAGAAAGCTTTGTTACCAAATATATATAAGCAATATTACAATTTATTTTTGGCTTCGGAAATATTACAAATTTTAGAGAATATTTAATAGTATGTTTACTAAAATACCCCTCATAATTATCCATTTGACTATACATTAACCCAACTACTCTATCGGCCTCACTAATCACAAACTTTAAATTGTATCTTGGGGCATTGTAGTCCAATTGACACCAAATATTTTATTTTTTAAGTTTTTCTTACGCGCAAGGTTGTGATTTGTGAATTCAAACCCTCAGTGAAAAAGAAAATTAATAAGTACGTGAGTTATATGACAGAAAAATTCAAGTGTGTTGCAGCAAAAAATTTCCTTAGAGAAAAGAGCCAGAAGGAGAGATTAATGAAGGGCGGCCAAGTGCTTACCCGTATTATTAGCAGCATCTGCAACAATAACGAAGAAGGGAACCAGAAGAAGCAAAGCAAGAATCCAAGAGATCGTTGTCTTCATGTCTTCAACTTCAAGTTTAGAAGGAAGAGGAAAACAGAAATGAACTGACAAAGCTTAAGTGATTGGCACCTCTTTTATTAGCAATGGTGTGAGTTTACTGAATATTATAGTATACATAAAGAAAAATTCTACAAAATAAGCCGTCCAGCAGGCATATATGGTATGACTACGAATTATCTTTTATATGCGTGTTTATGTGTGTATATATATTTAGAGAAATGAGGGTGGGGGCCAATGGAGTGAATTTAAAAGGGATAGTGGAATGGTATCAACATCTATAAGATAGAATAACATACACTCACGACCTCCCTTAAAACATTCTTTATCTTAGAAACATTGATATAAACTTCCTTTCTTAAAATTAACTTAAATGTTACACAATATTCATTATATATGTGACATTACTCTATATGTTTTTATCCATCCAAACATTAATTAGCGGTTAAGTTTGACATTTAAATTTGTATTAAATTTGTATTTGGACTAGAATACCCTTCTTTTTAATATAAGATTACTTAAAAATTTATATTTTTTTAAAAAACTTTTTCCTACCATCTAAAACATATTTTTAAACTTTCTAATATCTTATAAAATTTATTAATTTTTATAGTATTATAAAATTTTATAATTTTACCTTTTTCTTCACATTCTTGAAATTATTTATTTAGGTCTCTTTGAAATAGCTAAAAACATATTTTAAATTCGTATTTTGAAAATTAAACGTAAAAATGTTAATATTCGAAATTTTTTTTGTCAACATTTCAAATTTCAGTGTCATCATTTTTTTGTGTTAATGGCGGCAGGTCAAAGGACTTAAAAAACTCTATAAATTAAAAGAGTAAAATGAAATTTTGTGGGAAATTAAAATAACTAAATGTACATATTTATTTTTAATGTAAATTTTATACTTCGAATAGTTTTTAACAGATACTGACCATGGTGGCACCGTTATATTATGAGATAACTCATTATAAGTCTCGAGTGATAAGCGTAGACTACAATAGAACTCCAAGCTAGTCGAAGAATAATCTTATAATTTTGTTATAAAAAAAGAACTAATTCGTAAATTATAATTAACTAGCTGGTCAAACGTACCCATTCAAATGCACAGGCAAGTTAAGTATAATTTTTAAGTCAGTTGTTACATATTATCAAAATTTGTTGTAAAACATTTTAAAATGTTGGTTCTTACTATAAAATCTAGCTAAACTAGTTTGAAGAGATTAAAAAAGTTAAATAAATTATTTAATATAGCATATATTAATACTTATGTACATTATTATTAGATTATATATATAGCAGTTTATAAGTCAAACAAAGAAAAAACAATAAATATAAATGATTTAAAGTAATTTATTTAGCTTCTTTTATGTTGTCAAATTTATTTAGCTTTCTTAATCCTTTCAAATTAATAAACATAATCTTATATTAAGAATCAGAGGTAGTGTGGGTATATATAATGTCCACTGCAGGACTTTATTGTTGTTATCCCCATCATTTTATCTTGATGCCAAAAACAAAAAACAAAAAACTCCCCGGTTTGTGTAGAAAGTCCTGCCTGCATATAAAATATTTTATGCATTTATTGTTTTTAAGTCGTTTAGCAAAAAAATTTAGATTTATAATGTATTGCTAAACTATACTACCCATATATACGCTTGAAAATATGTAGTTATCGATAACACTATAATACCTTCATTTTTCTTTTGCCTTAATTTATCTCAATTTTGGTCTTTTCGATCGATAATTTACTATTCAAATCAATCAATGAGGAAAAGAAATTACAGTACTATCCAATAAAACCGTGTTTTATTTAGTAAAGTTTTGAATGATATGGACTACTGACTAATGCTCATCCAAGGATCAAAAATTAAAGTTGAGATAAATTGTGCCTTATTTCGAAATTTGAGCCTAGAATTAGCTCAAGAATAACATTGAATTAAGTAGGATATTAATTAAGCCTAATTTAGCGCATAAGTCCCACAAATGTCCTAAAATGATAGAATAACGTTTATGGGATCAAATCACATTAATAATTTTTATGAAACTAAATATAAATAATTTTAGAGACGTTGGGAAAGTCTCGAGCCAAAATGAAAGAGAAATAAGACTTCAATATATAAAGGAAGAAATATTCAAATTAAAAGGGCAAAAATGTCGAATGTGTCAAAATGATAAAAACAAATTATAGGAGAATCCGAATTGGCGTGTTATTGTACTCTTTTATAAAATGTAATTTTATTTATTATAACTTACCATTGAATCAAATCATAACACACACATATAAAATATCGAGTCACAAATACTTGGAGCTCTAATCCAAACACTTCTATACTTGTATTTTATTCAATGAGTTGATCTAAATTTGTTAACAAGTCCTTGATTGTCTATGAGCTGTCTCATCATGTCACAAATCACTAATACCAAAAATATCAATATCTATCAACAAGCCGTACAACATAAAATTTTTTTAATAAATTTATGAAATATTTAAAGACATTTTTGTCTCTAAACTACTTTGAGATGAGCACTGCATATTGCAAAATTATTTATTGGAGCAATGTCGCCTTTTGAGTGTCGATTAAATTATTACAGTGTCATCTTTTGACTAACGGATCAAGTTGTTGACCATTATTATTAATTTTAGAATGTCTTTAGGTATTTTTTGCCCCTAAAGTATTCATGAAAAAAAGTGATTAGCACCCTAAAATTTAATAATAATATGAAGCAATTGGAAGCAGCACCCTAAAGTATTATGTTATGACTGATTCTAAATAGCCAACACGGTCTTGTGTATTTGTAGGAGATTTTGCTTCTTGGATGACTTCGAAAAGCTCATAGTCATTGAGGATATATAGGAGGATAGCCTAAGAATCAGCCAATGCTCTTACTGTGAAATGAACTATTTTGGATTGGACATTTTAAGTTAGATAACTAATTTGTGAATATTAAAGAAATTAGTTAAGTTATTTATTTATAATAAATATATGTTATGTTCTTTAAAATATCCTCACTTCTTAACACACACACACACAACCACCATACGAATTATTTGAAGGCAAACTAGATAAATATTTATCATGAAGATAAAGTGGATTGATGTATTTGATTTAGGACCAAATTAAATTTTCAACTGGCTCTGATTTGAGGAGAGCAGGTTGTGATATAAAATACTTTATTTTCTTCCATACAAGCCAGATCGTGATGGGAAACCGATAACTTCTAAAGGCTTGTAGATTGGGGCCTCTATTATAGCCAACACACACACACACACACACACATCATAGAGTGCATACATTTAAACAATCTGGGTTTAATATTTGAAGCAAGGCCGATTGCCCAATAAGGTGGACACACACACACACGCACGTCTAATCCACAATTTATGAAAAATTCCAACACATAATCATTTAAAGAGGAGAGATGTATAATGATCCTTAAATGCATATAATTATATTGTTCTTTAGAAGACATATAATAGTGACTATCTAGCAGAGACGAGAGTGCTTAATTCACTGCTCACAGCAGAATCACGGGAACTGCTTATCATAGCGTTATCCATTTTGGATTGATCCATCTCCAAAGCTAAACATTCCAAAGCCTTTGGGTAGGTGTTGGTAGGACACATGACATTGCTACTTCAATAGCTCTCCATGTGGAACTAACACGGAATCCACAGAACCCCCCTTCAAATCTTGGATCAACAATGCCTTCAATATCCCCACATTCAATTTTAGGCTTAATCCAATCAATTATGAAACCGTTATCATCAATTTCTCTCTTTTTTGGAGGACGACCAATTATAGTTTGATCATTCCAAAACTATAAATTTCTCTCTCATATTTATTTATTTTTTCCTAAGGTAGTCTTTTTAATAATAATAGTTCTTACTAATAAATTTGATTAGTAGAGATATTTTAGGAAAGACAACACTTATTTATTACAAATAACTAATTTAATTTATTTTCTTAATCTACTCAAATTAGTCAACTAGCTCTTATATTTAGGACATGAGGGACTATTGATTCTATGGGTGCAACAAAATCAAACAAAGTGAAATTTGGAACAAAGGAAGGAAAAAATGAAGAGAAAAAGAAAAGCAATATATACCATCTTGTCTATCTCCAGGGGGAATTTGGTTATGGGAAGACTTTGAAAGTCTCAAAGGCATTGAGAATAGGAGAGCAGATCAATCAACTGTTGCTCTAACTGTGAAGCTAACATTAGTTGTAGTTATGCTGCCGGAAACTAGTGTGACAGGTTTATTCAGGAGGCAGTTCTTGAGAGAGGGAATTTTCATCATCATCATCATCAAAAGTGACACTGATGATCCTCTTTTGGTCAGAAGGAAGCTTTTGAATTTCAGAGAAATGAAGAAACGAATAAAACAGTTCTGGTATATCGAAAATAAATTTTGTAGTTAAGAGATTAGAGTTATTCTGGGATTCACATGCTGTGACTGATATCTCTGATGGCAGGACATAACTGGAGTTTTTAAGGCATCCCAATAAGAATCATCATATATACGCCACAAGCGATCGTACGTATCGTCCTTGTTCCCGCATTATTTTCAAAACAATTAAGCAAAAGCATTACAATAGGGAAAAAAAACATTAAAATGTTTAAACAGCGAGTGAGTGCTATGGTAGTCATCCTGAAACATCCAAATTTAATATGGATGGTCCGAATTTTTTTTTACTTTTGTTCTTTTTTTTAAATTTATTTTAATAAGTGTAAAATCCAAAATAAACACAATATTTCAATTGTTAATTTTTTTAAAAATAATTTTTTAAATTTAAAGATTATCAATTGAAAATTTTAAATTTAGACCATTAAAATTATATTTAGATAGTGTAGATCTTAGCATAGAGATGAACATTAAGATATTCATTAAATGGTAGTTTTAGCTAATATACATGATTAGCAAGTATATTTTAGAGAGGATAACATCTATTTATTATAAACAACTGATTAACAAACTTTTCTAATCTACTCAAATTAATCAACTAGCTTTTATATTAAGGAGTAGAGTTAGTACAATTTATGATAACTATTGTGACTCATTTTTAGACCTCCATGTGCAACACATAAAAGATGTGCCTATTTCTGAAACTATGCATATGTCAATTAATATAACATACGAAATTTATAGCGAGAGCCATACAATGCAGAAGTTATTAAAACTGCAGCTTATTATTATTATTTTTTCAAAATACATTACAAAAACAAGTTTAATTTTATTAATGTCTCTTTGAACCTATTGATATAAGTAATTTTTTTCTGCGTTATTGTTCATTTTGATTTAAAAAAAAAGGTGCAAAAGTTGGTGCAAGGAAGGAAGAGTACCTGCCAAAATTTATACGCTGGCCTCTTGTGTAAAGAGACAAGGGAAATGGAGCAGAATAGAGAGATTTGTTCAATGGTCTTAATTCTATGGTGTTGATGAAGGGTGTTCCTTGTCCAATGTCTGCCAAACATAGTTGTACCAGTCGTTGGTAACCTCTTGGATTGTTACTTCCACGTAAGCAAAATTCTTTGCACCCAATTCAATTGTGGTCCAAAAACCGACCCCCAGCTAAACATCAAACTTTGGAAACTGGTTCTTGGAGTCATAATTCTGGTATGCAAATATAGCTCAGATCAAATACTTTTGTTTCGGATAGATCTCTTGTTTTAGTTTCAGAGTGTGACAGTTTCTGTCTCCTTCTTGAAAACTTCTCAATGTGTTTAACTGTTTTTGGATGTATGGACGATCGTTGAATCGAAAGCTGGCGGTACTTCATGATTGGTTCCTCTTTCTATATATGAAGTGTTCATCTGTTTGGAACCAAATCCCAGTCAATTCCTCCACATAATATTTGCTTGCTCCACAATATGTGCTTAGGAAACCTGCACATTTATATGTTCCTTGTTTCATATGTATTCCACAATAAACCATATATCAAGCTTCATATATTTCTAGCTTAATTCACCCTCATAAACTCTCCCTCCTGTAAAAGAAAATTTTTGTCGGGGATGACTTGTTTCTATTACGTTATTAATATTCTCTCTGAAATTTTTAGCATCATTGACCATTTTGCCCCCATTTATTATTTGATTATGGAAGGAGGGGGGGGGGGAGCACAGCCTCGAAGCAATGGTAAAATTGCTGCCTTGGGACTTAGAGGTCCATGATTTCAAATCCTATAACAGTTTCACCGCTTATAGGGCTAAGGCAACATATATCTATCCCTTCCTAAATCCCACATGATGATATTCTTGTAAACCAGGACCTTTTATTATTATAATTGTTAGGCATCAATTAATCATCCACACATTCTGACACGGTGTTTTTTAAAATTAACATTTTTTACATATTTATTGCGTTTAACCAAATTTTTTTATCAATGCAAAAACGGCCTGCAAACTCCACATAACCCAGTCAATCCACTTAATTATTCTAATTTGCTACCTAAATGGTTAAGTCATTTGCAGCATATATATGTTTTGAATAAACTTTTCTGTGAGTATAAAAGAAAACTTAAAATTTAAAATTAAAGACTTTCTCCAAACCCTCAATTAAACGCCAAAAGGATATAATATTTAAAGGCTAAGGAGGCCAAGGCAAGTGCTTATCTGAATTACCACCATCTTCTGCAACAGCCTGTGCTGATTAGTGACCAATAAGGATGAAGGAAACCAACACATACAGAGCCAGAATCCACGGTATTGTGCTCTTCATCATGTTGTCAAGTTTATTAGAGGATGATGAAAAGAGAAACGAATTGGGAAGCTTAAATGAGATAATTGGCACTTCACTTCTTTAAGAAGCAGAAAATGGTTTAGTATGAAAAATAATACAAGGAAAAAAAAAAGAAGGCCGGCATGGATGGTTGACTATGAATATTTTTTGAGTAGTGATGTAATTGGGGTTGGTGAAGAAAAGAATTTAAAAAATATAATATCAACATTAATATAAAATATAAAAAATACAGTGAGCATAATTTATTATAAGTCTATACCAATAAAAGGTTGGGTTTTGTAAAAAGCATTAATCCCTTACAACGTTAGGAAAGATGTTCACATTAGAGTGCCCAGTAATGTCTCGAACAAGATTTTTTTGATTAGAGGATACTAATGCATATTATAAAAATAATTTATTATAAGTTTGTTATAAACTCCATTTTATATTGAAGGATGATTGATGTTGACATTATTGTTATATATACTTGTATATTATCTGAGATGGCTCATTGAATCTAAATTAAAGGAGTCAGTCAGAGACAAAACCAGGTCAGGTCATTGAATAAAAATGCAGAACTATAAGAGTCTTTATTCTACTTTATCTTTTGAACCAAGGATAAGATGATAAGTCTTTGTTTCATGATTATGATCTCAGGGTTTGACTAACTCATAAGTTAATATTGTGCTTATATAATAATATTATTAATACATGCAGAAAAACTAAGTTGTGAACTTGTACCAGATGTGGATCAACCATGAAATTGACTATGAGAAAATAAGTCCGAGTACCCTAGAAATAAATGGAATTTTCAACATACATCACCGTCACAGAAACTTATGTCAAATATCTATGACATATTATTAGTCCTTGTTATTGTTATTACTGCTATTACTGTTATTGCTACTACCACTACTATTACCATTATTACCACTACTACTAATAGTTTGTTAGTACTATGACTACCATTACTACCATCGCTATTACAATGACTATGACTACCACCACTACCATTATCAGGATACTCCTAATGGTAAAATACTTAGGCCCTATTTGGTATGAGGGATTAGGAGGGTTGGTATTGAGATTGGTATTGGTATTGCTTAGTTTGTCATGTTTGATGTGTAGACTTCAGCAATCCTAGGATTGCCCAATACCACTTTTTGTGGGATTAGCCAATACCAGCGGCCCCATAGTATTGAAAAATAATCAATTCCAGCACTAAACATTTTTGGACCAGATTACCCCTCACCCACACCCAGTTACATATCGACTATCCTCTTGCGACGGTAATGAAGGTGGAAAGAGGCAAAATTGAGGATGCTACGACGGAGACTCATATCTGTGTTCAGATCTCCATCTTCCTTCTTCGAACTCTTGCCAATGGCAATTGACAAGTCTTCGTCTTCCTTGAACACATAGCGATGGAATCGAACTAGAAGCAAAAGATGAAGATGTACAACCAAACCCAAATGACTGAGTTGAGTGGTTGAAGCAGAGAAAAGAAAGGAAGATGAAGAAGGAGCAGCGGAATATGCCGAGTTGAATCAGCATTAGAAACCCTTTCCTTTGCGTCAAATATGATCTCATATAAGTTAATGATTAAAGGTCGCTAATAGATTTGTTTTTGGTTTTGCACTGAATCAATCAGTGAATGCGATGACGATGAACTGCAAAGGGAAAGCAATTGCAAACTTTCTTCTTCTTCTTTTTTAACAAAAATTAATAGCAAGGTATTGTTGTCTTTTTATAATTAATGACTGACTATGAAATAAAGTTAATGTGAACATTCCTTTTAAACATTACTCCCTATATACCAGACATAATTTTAAAGTTACAGTGCCAACCCACCCTCACTCCCCTCATTCTCAATTCCATTCCCAATCTACCAAAATTCAAACCTTCACACGAAACATAACCTTAGCGTCCTTTAGTTGTGTTCAATCTCATTCATCCAAACTAATCAAAAAGCTGAAAGTGCACCACATCATCATGATATTAGAAAGCTAAATTATATATTTGGTTCTCTATATTTACATCAAGTTTTGATTTAGTATCTTAAGTTTATAAAGTGCATTTTTAGTTACTTAATTTTAACATCGTTGGTCTCATTTGATGGGGAAAAAAAAAGTTAACTCAACAAAGAAACTCGTGCGCTCATTATATGTAATGATCCTTGAACAATGCAAGCACGAATTTCATCATAGTCTTGTAAAACAAATTAAAACATGAAGCCTTGTAGTCTTGTTTAGCAGAAATATATCATGATGACTACCTAGCAGAGAGAACAGTGATTAACTCACTATTGCCACTATAATCACATGAATTTCTTGGCATCATGTCATGTATTCCCATCTCCAAAGCTAGACATTCTTGTAGTTCTCGCAATATGTAACTTATGGTTGGCCTTTGGGTTGGTGGTGGTAACACGCATGACATTGCTACTTCAACAGCTTTCCATGTTGAGTTAAGACTGAATTCTGCAGCTAATCTTGGATCAACAATGCCTTCAATATCCCCACTTTCAATTTTCGGTTGAATCCAATCAATAATGAAACTGATATCCTCAGGTCCTCTCTTTATTGGGGGACGACCCGTTATTAGTTGAAGAAGAATCATTCCAAAACTATAAATATCAGTTTTCTTATTTAGTTTTCCTGATCTTTGAAATCTGCAAATGAATCCAATCAATAATGAAACTGATATCCTTAAGTCCTCTTTTATATTTCTTTAGACATATGCTAAGAAACACTTACTCAGGATCGATGTAACCAGGAGTACCGGCTGGTTGAGTTGATAGATGAGTATCTTTTTCATTTGTAAATACTCTAGACAGTCCAAAATCAGCAATCTTAGCTACCATGGATTTATTCAATAAAATGTTGGATGGTTTCAAGTCTCGGTGGATTATAGGAGTATTACAACCAGTGTGAAGGTATTCCAATCCTGCAACTCCACTAGCTTATTATATAAGAAGAAAATATACTGGAGCTTATTACTACTCCCTTTTATTCTAAATATAGGAGTTAATTAAGGAGTTTACTTTATTCTTAAATATAAGATCTACATTCATTTTGTCTTGTAAATTTATAATTTTTAAGAAGATTTCTTCAATTATTAAAAATGATATATTTTGGGAAAACTAATACATTTTTTTTTACAAATAACTAAATCTTTTACTGTAAATTAGTTATGTAATTCCTCTACTGTATTTAGAACCGGAGGGAGTAATAAGGCAAGACGGGTCAATAACATATATAATAGCTTTTTGTCACCTTTCGCTGCGTCAATTGCTACTTCAAGTCTCTGTTTCCACCCCAAAATATTTGAGTTTTTCTCTACAAGAGAAAAAAATTGCATATGATCATCAGTATCTTTCAATAACAGACGCATATAATCATACAACTATTCAAAGATCTCAGTCGACTATATTTAACCATATAAAACTAAACGAGTAATAATTTTCCTTCATGAGATTTCAATAATTGTATCTAAGACCTGAAAATAAGCACAAGATATGAGAAACCTGATAATAATTGGCCGAGGTCCCCATTATCCACATATTCATAAATCAAGGCCATGATATTGTTTCCATGGCAATACCCAACAAGTGAAACCAAGTTTCTATGATGAATAACTGTCAAGAGCTGAGCCTACAAGTCAACAGTTATTTATTTATTAGCTCCATCATATATGACTTTGCATACATATATTTAAAAAGTAGCTTTTGTATATCATAGATATACGTCCTTTTCATTTCTAACCTCTGATTGAAACTCCTTATATCCTTGCTTTGATGATTCTGAAAGTAATTTTACTGCAACTTGAGAATTATCTTCTAGAGTCCCAAGGTAAACTTTCCCGAATCCTCCTTCTCCAATAAGAGTTTTGAAATTGTTGGTGATCCGCAGAACTTGTGAGTGAGAGAATTCTCGATTCTTTCGTTTTGGAATCTCCATCTTCAAGTATTTATTTGTGGACGAATCTGCATCATTATGTTAAATTATTTTAGCCTTCAAACACAAGTAAAAATAACTTGAGAGTGCTGTATTATATTCCAATGAATCGACATCGACAATAGATATAAAAATAAATACCTTGTCTTCTCTTTCTCAGTCTCCAAACCACCAAAGAAAGAACGGCAATTAGGGTAAAGACTGTAATTGATGTAACAAGAGGAATAACAAACGTGCGTTCTTTGTTGCATGAATCCAACTGATAGAGACCTGCATTGTTGGCTACACTGGCAAAATAGAAAGAGGAACCTTGAGTTAAGCAAATGATGAGTTTCAGAAAATGACATTGTTGTACATTGCGGACCAGTCATTGAGCTGTCAAGATAATGAATTAAGGGTTAGTAAGCAAACCGTTAACTCGGAGGTCAAACCAGTGAGAAATAAAAAAATTAAAAAATAATTAATTTTTATCATATCTTCTTATGATTAAACATCAATTCATTACCTTGAATTACAAACAAATTAAAAGAATCATATACTTAAAATTTCTTTATAATTTTTTTTTTTACAATTCTTTTGACAAACTGGCATCATAGTATCATCCTCCAAAAATTGCTAAATATTTATTATAGAAAAAATTAATCAAAATATATATATGACAACAAAGTATTCGTATCAATCATTGAGCCGGTTGAGATAATGAATTAAGGGTTAGTAAGCAAACCGTTAACTCAGAGGTCAAACCGGTAAGAAATAAAAAAATTAAAAAATAATTAATTTTATCATATCTTCTTATGATTAAACATCAATTCATTACCTTGAATTACAAACAAATTAAAAGAATCATATACTTAAAATTTCTTTATAATTTTTTTTTTACAATTCTTTTGACAAACTGGCATCATAGTATCCTCCAAAAATTGCTAAATATTTATTATAGAAAAAAATTAATCAAAATATATATATGACAACAAAGTATTCGTATCAATCATTGAGCCGGTTGAGATAATGAATTAAGGGTTTGTAAGCAAACCGTTAACTCAGAGGTCAAACCGGTAAGAAATAAAAAAATTAAAAAATAATTTAATTTTTATCATATCTTCTTACAATTAAACATCAATTCATTACCTTGAATTACAAACAAATTAAAAGAATCATATACTTAAAATTTCTTTATAATTTTTTTTTACAATTCTTTTGACAAACTGGCATCATAGTATCATCCTCCTAAAATTGCTAAATATTTATTATAGAAAAAAATTAATCAAAATAGATATATGACAACAAAGTATTCGTACCTATCCTCATTTAATAACTAAACTAAAAACTATCGACAGTTTAAAAAAATGCATCAAAATAGCTTTAAAAAAAAAAAAAAAAAGAGGCTAATGGGTTAACCCACCAAACAGGGTAGGTTAGCTGGGCTGTTCTCGGGTTATTCCAAGTCACCCTAGTTCAAATGTCTTGAGCTCACAAGGGTTGACGGGACAAGCCAGGTGATTGGCTCACGATTCCCGGTTCAACCCAGCTGGTCCTGTTTTAAATATGATGATTTTTACATATATTGTTGCGCCAAGGCATATTATTCATAAGCAAAGGATTAAAAAAAAAAACTCTATTGTTCTCCTCCTTCTTCCTCTCTCCAAATTATCAAAGAATGAATGACAAAAAGGACACAAAGTTTATCCAATTTGACCTCAAACAAGAATAAACTAGAATCTGAATTGGATATCTACCTGAGCCTTAAATTAGCATTTTCACTAAAAGCCTTGGGAATTGAACCCGTGAGTTTGTTTCCCGTCACATCACTGCAAGATAGATGATGAAAAGAAAATAAATGTAATTTTGAGGTGCACGACTTCACAATCTAAGCATAAAGTTGCAGTGTGTGTGTATAAATTAAGGTCTTACATGAATTTTAAATAGGAAGAGTTGCGAGAAATTCTGGTAGTTCTCCTATCAGTTCATTGTTGGACAAGTCCCTATGAACAAGAGGTTGTAGGCTCAATATAATAAGTATTTGTTGGGAGCCTATCTTATATTACATACAACTTACAAGCACTCCAAATTTTTCAAACGCGCGAAGGATTCAGATATTTGTCCTTTGAGTTTGCTTGACCCCAAGTGCCTACATTTTGGAATTCATAAGACATATTGTAAACAACTAAAAAAGAGAAATAAATAAAAGGAAAATGTAGCATATATATAAATGGGTTGAAACAAATAGCTGATATATATATATATATATATGAACAAATCAAGGCAAGATTTGGACATGTTATGGATAAAAATTCTCACACTACGTTATTTTGTTGAATCACCTTCTTTTGATGGTAAAAATTAAGGAAAAGTTTGTTTTGTGGGATTATATTGCATTGAAGCCCTCTTGCTCTATTTATGAACTTTAGAGTTGTATTAACTCTTCTGAGAGTTCTTTGCTTGCAAGCGTGTTAGTGCTGTTTTAGAGCTCTATTCAACTACTTGTACGCCAAAATGTTTTTCTCAAATAATGCTTCATATATGATACATATAAATAACTCAGAAGTATGGTACTTACAATGAAACGACTCTTGTTTTGTTGCCATAGTTGCATCTAACACCTTCCCATGCAAAATTAGAAGGCACACATGGGTCCCCTTGCCAACTGATTTTGGATACCCCATAAGTACGCCTGATCTCCACCATGGCATTAACTATGCGAAGGAGAACCTAGTTGAGCTCTTCTTCAATATATATTCATCTTTAGCAAAATAAAAATTGAACCAAAGGAAGAAAAAATGAAGAAAAAGAAAAAGCAATACCGTCTTGTGGGTCCGTTGGGGAATTTGGTGTGGGGGAAGACTTTAAAAATCTCAAAGGCATTGAGGATAGGAGGGGCATAAGAATCATCTGTTGCCCTAATTCTGAATCTAACGTTATTTGTAGTGATGTTGGAATTTAGGGTGACGGGTTTCAAATATTCAAGGGTAAGTTCTTCGTAGAGGGAATTTTCATAATTAAAAGTGACATTGATAATCCTCTTTTGGCCAGAAGGAAGCTTTTGAATTTCAGCAAAGTGAAGAAACAGATAAAATTGTTCTGCTACATCAAGACTCCAACTCTCAGATAAGAGATTGGAATTATTCGGGGCTTGACATGCTGTGACTAATATTTCTGATGGAAGCTCATAATTGGAATTTTCGACTTTTACTTGTCCATCTGTTTCTAAGACATTCCACTGACTATTCTTTATATATGTATGCCACAAACGGTCATAAACATCGTCCTTGGACCTGCATTTTAATTTCCGAAACAATTAAGGAAAGCATCACCCGAAAAAAAAAGAAGAGCAAAGTATTAATAATCTCAAGAAATTATTGACGTTCAAGTCAATCAACATATGATGAATATGTATGTATGTAAAAGTTTACAACTTTGGCAAAAAATGTACTACGTCCCATTTTTAATATAAAACGTAGTTGACTAATTTAGAGAAATTAAAAAAGTTACTAAATTACTTTAAACTATTTTATTTATCGTTCATCTCCAAATTAATTTGTTTCATTTATAAATTAATATTTAATCTAATAATTCACATAAACATTTTAGAGAGATCATGTAACGTATGTGATAATTAACTAATTTAGTAACTTTGTTAATCTCTCTAAATTAATCAATTGATTCCTTTGGTAGTACATAATTTTACAACAAATTTCATTTTTTTTCATGTTATGATAACTAGGGGAACTAATCTTATGAATAGCACGCCAAACACATGAAAATGTGTCTATTTACGTCAGACTAGGCATAGATCGCGCCCAATCAATTAATATCAATATAAAGTACAAAATTTGCAATAAGTCATGTTACCCCCAAGGTATTAAAAATGTGACTTGTTGTTTAAATCTTTTCACAACTCTGCCTCTATTTTTTTTTCATGAGATATATAGGCAATTCTATTTTCATAACATTTAAAAATATTTAAAAACACTATGCAGGACCAGTTATATTTAATTGAATTTAAATTAATTATACAATTTGATTATACTTTTGTATTCTGGATATATGTTGTTAAGGACAGAGCATCATAATTATATTCTGTATTCTGAGCTGCAGGATATGGCAGAATGTTTTGCGAGCTATGATTTATAAGGATGATTGTATCTGAAATTTCTGCAAGCAAATTGGAGAAATAGAATATAATTAAAAGTTTCTTATAAACAAGTGTGAAAAAGAAAAATTATGCTCCTCCAGAAAAACCAAAAAGTCCGACCAAATGAATAAATAATTCTAAAATATCAAGGAAGTTAAGTGCAAATAAGTTTACCCATTTAGTGATGGCACTTTTGATTGTTCACATTTCTTTTATATGACCTCATACTAATTTTTTGTTGTAACGTTGTAAAAGTCTGAGCGGGATAGAAAGAGTACCTGACATAGTTGATACTGGAAGAAGGGCCACAATCTCTTCTTGTGTAAAGAGATAAGGGAAATGGAGAGGAATAGAGAGAATTTCTCAATGGCCGTAGTTCCAATGTGTTAATAAAAGGTTTGCCTTCTCCCATGTCCACCAGACACACTTGAACCATGCCATTGGTAACCTCTTGGATTATTATTTCATTATATCCAAAAGTTTTATTTTCATTCAATTCAATTGTCGCCCAATAGTTGACCCCCAAGTAGAGATCAAACTTTGGGAACTCGTTTTTTGAGTCATAGTTCTGACAAGCAAATGAAGCTCTGATCAGATACTTCTGCTTTTGTTTTATTGGTCTCAAAGTATAACAGTTCCTTTGTCCCTCTGGAAAACTTCTGAATGTTTTTAGCTGACCCCTCATGTATGCAAGATCGTTGTTGCTGATGTTAAAGATGGGTGGTATTTCATGAGGATCCACTTTCTATGAAGCCTTCATCTGTTTGGTACCAAATCCCTGTTAATTCATCAACATAATCTCTCTTTGCTCCACAATCTATACTTATGAAGCCTGCACAATTATGTATATTCCTTATTTTAGGTTTTCCACAATAGGCGTAAACGGCCGTTTGATCCATATATAAACAAATTTACAGAAATCTTATGGTTTTATTGAGAATATTATAAATATAAGCAACGATTGTTTAGATTATCAACTCACGTTAGTGAAAGAAATTATGACTACTTAAAGCACAAGAAATTTCTGCGAATGCAGAGCTACTACCAAATTAGGTCCAACAACGTTTGATGCTGATCCAACAGTTAATATAATTAAAAAATCGTTTGATGGTATTGGTGTGAATAATATCCCAGAAGGATGTAAGTTTAAATCTCGACACTGACATGAGGATATCATTACATCTATTTGTTTGGTCCAAATTACTAAAGATATATCTTTTAAGATACAAACATTTCTTTATATGTGTGACTAATTAACCTCATTTTGTTGTTAATGGCTTTGTATACTAATAGCACAAGAGCTTTCCTATAGGTGTGGGATGTGGAAGACTTAATTTCTCTAATAACAGCACCACCCATTAATTTTAAAAAAGAAAAACCTCATTTGTCATTACTTATATTAGGTAATAGGGGTGTTCACATGATAAGACATGATCAATCTCAATAATTGGGATAGAGTGGCCTTTCTATCCTATTTTTTGCCCCATTTGGGACAAGACATGACTAGGATAGAACAAAGATGTCCCCAATCATTTTTTGAATTTGTTTTCAAGCGTTTTATTTGAAAACCAACTATATATGGAGCATGAGAATTCATGATAAAAACTATACAAAAAAAATAAAGAAAATAGATAAAAACTAGTTAAAAATTGGCAATAATAAAAAATTTGCAAAGGAAAAAATTTTCCTAGAGAAAATAAATTCTCAAAAGATCGATGTTCACTAAACAAAACATCATATGACCCATACAGTTAAGAGAGGCTGGCAAAGTGCTTACCTGTACGATTAGCAGCATCCGCCACAATGATAAAGGAAACCAACACAAGCAATGCAAGAATCGATTTCTTCATGTCTTCAAGTTTAGAGGACGAGGAAAAGAGAAATGATCTGTGGCAAGCCTAAGTGATTGGCACTTCTTTAAGTAGGCAGAAAATTAATGGTGCGTGTAAGTTTGTTAGCATTACACACACACCACCACACACACACACACACAAAAGGCCGTCCGGCACGCATGGTTTGAGTATGACTAAGAATTACTTTGTATATTAAAAAAATGTAATTTGGATAATAGTGGAAGTATCAACATCAATCAATATATATCATATAAAAGTTATATAGGAGGTAGATTTATTACAAATTTTATTTTGTGAATTGGTTTGTTGATAGATATGGATCCATATTGATGGCATTGATAGGACTATCAAATTTAGGTCGAGTCGTTTAATACAAATACCAAAGCGGCAGAATACCAAAGGGCCAGAATCATGAGAGCACATTAGGGAATAGAGCTCCAAATTTTTTTAATTAAGTACAAGTATTTTTTATTGAAGGTCTGTTTTGAAATATTGAGTACTACATGTTAACATTTAATAAGTCTTTGTTAAATGATAAGGCCATATGTGTATAATCTTGTAATTTGACCCAATTCTTAAGTTATACTACCTCCGATTTTAAATATATTACACTACAAACTAAATCTTATATTTAGGAGTAGAAGTAGCTAGTAATTAACTAGCTAGTCAAACATACCCTTCAATGCATAGGTAAGATAAGGATAATTTTCAAGTCATTCGTTGCGTATTATCAAAATTTAATTTATTGTAAAACAATTTAAAAATTGCCGGACTTCATTGTCATTATTATCCCCTACCAATTTTTCTTGACCCAAAAAGTCCTTCCTGATGAAAAAGGTAGAAAGTTCATTCACAAAATATTTTATGCATATCTTGTTTTTAAGTAGTTGGAAGAAAAATATATATAAATAATTATAAACATTTAGATTTATACTGTAGTGCTAAACTTTAGTACCTATAAGCTTGAAAATATAGTTATTTATAATATTAAAAGAGAATTTAATACTAAAAGTATAAAATTATAAGTTATTTTTATTTTGGGGTCAAACTTGGAGACTTCATGGACTATTTTTTGATTTTCTTTTTGGAAATGCCGGCAACCTTTTAATTTCTGTTTTAATATCTCTAGTTAGATACGGCTCTGCGATAATCTATAACAGTATAGCAAGAAAATTAAGGGAGAGACTATCATCACTACCCAAAAAAAAAACAAAACAGAGGCTATCGGATATGTTCAATATAAATTAAAATATTTTTTAAAAAAATTATCTTTGACTTGTCAATACTGACCGATGGCCGGTCAACGGTCGTTGGTCAAATCAGGCAAAGAGAAGTGAGCCAAAAAATATATACATCGTATTTCACAAGGGAATTAAATTAAAAAAAAAATCTCATGGGATTTGAAAGAATATTTTCACAAATTATGGGGCTTATTTAAAATAGATCTCTTATTTTTAGAATTTGCATGCGATTTAATCATGATTAATTTGCTTACTTAAGACTTTTGTTTTTTGCCCTTGTGCTCAAAACCACAAATTAATGCTTACATTTCACTCATTCTTAAATTTACATTAAACTCAACCAATAATATTTCAATGGAGGATGATGGCCAACTCAGGTATATAAATTTATTCTTTTGAATTAATTTTGATGTTCAAATATTTGTTTGCATTTCAAAATTAATTATATCTTCCTTTATATATTTTACTCATTCTTGAATAATCATTCAACCCGGTCAGTAATTAATATTCATCAATATGGATGAACAATAGCAATAAGTGGAAATGGAATCGTAATTTGAGAAAATTGTTAAATATCATATGAATAAGATAACTCCGCTGCTTTCTTTCGAGAAATATTATGATAACAAAAAATATATCTCAAAAAGTATGAATGATCAAATAATAACGTTGGAGAGAAAAAGGAAACATCAAATTTATTTGACGTCCAAGTCTACTTCCGTACCCACACAAGCCTGCATAATGTCAAATAAGTTAAGATAAATTGTTATTTGATCAATTAATGTATGAATGTATACGTAAAATATAAAATATTTAACCCAAGCAATAATATACTGTTTTAATTAAGAGATTAATTACCTTGTCTATAGTTGCAGTATCGTTGGTGCTTTCATATATGCCTTGAGGATCTCGAAAATTGGCAAATCTAATGGCAGAAATTGAATTGCTCTGGCAAGGTAGTTCCAATGTGAGGTTCTTATAAGTATTCCCACAAGCAGCTCTCGCACTAACTGTTCCGAAATTCACATAGGATGGATTTTCTTCCATCTCCTCCAACAAAACCAATGTGTTTTCACCATCTTTAAGGAATGATCGTGGAACATGATACCTGAAAAAACATATTAATATGTCTTTCAGATCAAATTTGAATGTTAAGAATCCAGATCCTTCGCTTAATTTTGAAAAGAACAAAAATCAGACCAACCATTTTTGCATAGAATTTCCATAGTTGTAAATACATTTTGTGAACGAATATTTACCATGATAATTACAGTGATCAATACTGCAATCATTCTGCAGCCAAGTGGGCAGACCCATAACCGCTATATTATGACCATTAACACGAGCAAATAATTTACCTAGTCCTTCCAAATCAACTGCCACAGGGTCTTTTCAAATAGGAGCTTTGAATGTGGTCTAAAATACATTTAATTTCAAACGTGAATAAATCAATTATCTACATTTTAATTATTGGACTAACAAATGATAATATAATTTGCCAATTGCCAAGTATAACCTTGTACCAAGTGAAGCTTTTATTTGGGAGTAATTGGTTAGATGCCCATTTGATGTTAGAACTAGATTTTTCACTAAAGAACTTTTTATTCCAACCATCCAGTCCAATTTTGTAGTGCATGCCACTTCTGAGAAGACAATCCTCATTGACTGTCTCATCATCACCTTTTTACCATCCACCTCAACGGTTCAAAAAAAACTGTGTTGTACCATGTATAAAAACGACCCATAGTTTAGAAGACCATTATCATGATTTAAAGTGAAAGCAAGAAATTATTATAATATTTATGTTTCACAGAAAGTCTCATTTTAAATGATTTAAAAATTTTCTAACGGCATTTTTATATTATAGTGATGGCATGCAAGGATTTGTAGGGAGAAAAGGCGAGGTGGTCTTCGTCTTCGTCTCATGAAAGTCTGAGAACCAAGCGCAGTAAATTTATATCTATGCACACACATATATTGTTATTGATGTTATAATAATACTTTTATAAGATATTAAATCTCAATTATTTAAAGTTGATCTAACAATGAAGGTAAGGAAGCGGAGGAAAGTAAAATAAGTGGAGAGCTTCTTTTTCCTAAATTTTTTTTAGTTTTCTGTCCCCCCCCTACAGGAAAGGAATTCATAACTTCTAAAAAAAATGGAAATTGAGGAGAAGGACCTAAAAAAATTAGTTTTTGTTAAGGGGATCTTAAAAATTGTAATTAATTTGAAGGACAAAAATTAAAATATGAATTTACAATACAAAATTATCCTT